CCCGTTCCAAAGGCAGTTTCAGCAACAACATCGGCCCTCCTCTCTGCCCCTGCCAGTCTCTCAGCGGAAAAAGGACAGCGTCGACAACACCAACAAAGAACTTCAACAGTTTGCGGACACTTTAGTAGACGGCGTGATCAAGACAGTGTCCGAAAGCCAGGTGAACGCTTCAAAGCCCCTTGTCGCTTGCCGGTTTAACAGCTCTTCTTTCAGGACACCTTGGACGTGGCCCCATTGGAGGACGATCAACCCTCAGCCGACAACACATAACAGAGTAGAAGTCCGGGTTGAAGCAACGAGACACTGATGGACAATGTTCAGCCAGCTTTTTTAGCTATTAAGTAAGCGAAGCTACTTAATAGCTAAAACTACGCTAGATTTCGCTTCGAAGAAACTTGTACAGTATTGTGTCGTTTTTACTTTAATTGTCACGGAAAAGGTAAGTACCAGTAGCGTGAGTCTATTGCGAAACCAAAGATATTATGGAGCTTTAAGTCGGGCTGCAGCTCGAGTTTTTTTTATGTTTTTACGCACTCACATTGATTAGTTATTTAAGGTTCGATCCTGTACGTTTTGCTTGAGGATATGACGCATTAGAAATCTATTAAGTAGTCCGCAGTTTTCATGTAGTACCTAAACCCTTCAACCACGTTTTGTGGATTCCGATGAATTGAAAACGCCAGTTTTATATTCGTGATAGTTTACTAAAATAACAAAAAAATATACAAACGCAAGTCACATATTTACTTCAACGACATGTTGGAAAAGGGGATCTTAACAATTAACAAAATCAGCTGGATGTTGCTCAATTGAATTCAATGCTCCAAAGCCACCAAATCCTCATCCATTAACAAAGTAAAATTATCAGTCACCGTGGTAGTACTTTCATGCAAGTCCCGAAACTTCCGCTCCTCCTCATTGTACTCATAATCCAGCTCCTCACTAGACGATTTGTCGCTTCCCTGCTGCCTGAGAGACGCGTTAGGTCTGGTTTTCATCACGGTTAAATTGTAGGGATGTTCGCTTTCATAGAAATAGTAGTTGTAGTCTGGTTTTTCTTGTTCCTTTGCGATAGGCCTGCGTGGTTCCTTTCTCCCTTCGGCCTTTTCCTTGCCACCCCACACTAGGAAGAAATCGGTACTGTCGTAAACACTAGTGGAGGATTCTTTGGAGACTGCGCGTTTGCTGCGCAAACTATCCGAGTAGTTCTTTTTGTACTTCTTTGAAAGCTCCCTAATGAATGTTCGCTTCAGCGTCTGGAGGCATCTAAAAGTTTTTGTTTTCCATAAAACCGCCCTGGAAACTTACCACAAGGCCTACCGTTGATAGAGGGGAGACTGGCGATATTTCAGGTTGTCGCAGCTGGGTTTGTGCGCTTGATGGACGATGAAAACATCAGATAAAACGGTGAACTCATAGTCTTGCGCCTCCAGCTCCATAATGTGCTCCACTTTATTCCAACCGAAGCCCAGAAATCTTTCATCGAAGCCTATCACGTCGCTCCTCACCACTATGTAAGGCTCGTAGTGGGTTTGCCATTTTACCTAAATTGTGTTCCATGTCAGTGCCTTGACGATCTATTTTAACTTTGTTTAAACAATGTTTTTAATAAAGGCGGCCTTCACTGTGCCCCAAAAGAAACCCTGGGCACATTTAAAGGGATGCAGCTTATTTTTCTGAGACTCATGTTTTATCAGCTTCGATATTGTCGTATATATTTTAAAGGGAAGACTCTCAATCCACTACCTGATATGGTGCGTATTCCATTTGCCATCTTGTATAGTCAGTGGCAGCATGCCCGGGCGCCCAACTCGCTTCCTGAAAAGGCCGAAACTCCTTGCGTTCCAAAGCTTCCAATAGCTTGAGCTTGTTTTCCGGCATCGTCAAATTAGGTCCAATTGCTTCAAATGCTGGCACCACTAGCGCCTGAAAAAATCCATATTAAACCGCGCCCTTTTTCCTTGACTCTCACGCCTCGCACCTTTTGCTTCAAATCTCCAAAGTTTTTCAGGTTGTCTCTGAGCAGCTGATAGAGCAGCCGCATCGGAACAAAGTCCACATCCACTAGGAAAACAAACGGCGTCTGCACGTGCTTTAGTCCGGTGTTTCTTAAAGTGTTCGTCGGGTAAAACTCCTGTTGAATACGAGACTCAGACATCGTTAATGGTTAGTTGAAATGGGCCACTCACCCCTTGCTTGAACACCACGTGATAAGCGATGTTGCTTCGGCTGCTCAGTAGCTGAGAATCGCTGAGTAGATGAACTACCCTGGCAAACTGAGCGTCGCTGAGATACATGGTGAAGCTAATGGGGCCTGGCCACAGTCTAGCTATGTTATCTATTAGGGAAATGCGGTCGAAAGATAAATGGGTAACGTAGGTAATATCCGAGCTATCGGACGTTACTTTGTGTTCCATAACGAAGAGCAGAGTTCTAAACGGTACTTCAGGCGGCAGCGTGAATCGCTGGCAATCTGAGGGCTCAACCTGTAATTTGTAGCATGTTGTTCTATCTCCATCCAATGGAACATCTTTAGCTTAAGCATACATTTAGTTGGGTTTTCCAGTCGTCTTCACATATCATGGGGTAGCTTCGAAACCAATTGCCATTCATTTCGAAAACTGAGTTAGCCAGACCTCGAAACAGCGCCCCGTCGTTAGTCGCAACCGCAAACTTCTGCGGTGAGTTCCAGTGGATTATCTACAACCCGACTTGCCTAGTATTTTTTTATTTCGCGTATTGGCTTCCGTTTGCCTAGTAGCTGCCTGGAACTGCGACCCCCAAAATAGTAATTTACCTTTGGTTTGAATTTGCTATAACAGGTGCTGCTCGTCGAAAAGCTGCTCATTTGAGTATTCCAATAACAGGGCAGTTTGTAAATAATATCAGGGTGCTCTTTGATGAGGGCATTCAAAATGTCCTGGTCTCCTAAGCTGCAAAATCAGTGACTGATTGCAGTGAAAACGGAACGAAAATGCTCAAAACCTTACTCAGTTTGTCCATAAGTCAGAGAGTATCGCTTGGTCAGGTTTACCCATAACAAATCCCATTTGAGGCGGTTCATTTTCTCAAAATCATATAGCATAACTCCGGAATTGAAGCTACAAATGGTTGAAATTCAGGGACATTTCCAGAGGAATGGACTGACAACTTACCCAGTTCCCAGGGCAGGCCAAGGGCGCGACTGGCTCAATTGGCCCAAGTAATACGGGCTTTGGTTCTCTCCTATTCCTATTGCCTAGAAATTGACGGGAGTTTTTTGAGTTCGGGTTTTTACTTGCGCTTAAAGACTTGGATAAAACGGCTTGATTGAATGTTAATTGATTTACTCGGACCTTTTCAATTTGCAATGCATTCATGAGTTGAAAACCAAGGCTTTCAGACAATGTAGTTGCTCCTTCAAGGTTTAACTGATTAACTGATTAACTGATTAACTGATTCTCTGTCTGAAGTTGATAGAAATCCCCAATAACAATTGAAAAAGTTGCGATTGAAGATGTCATCAATTTGCAGTAGTTAACAACTCAGACACTTATCACAATCAACCACTTCGCTTTATCCTGCAGTTCATTGTAGTCTCATTCAACCTAAAGCAGCTCACAAAAGATGAACGTTTTGCCCATTTAAGCAGCATATTCAATTATGGAACCCTGCTGCATACCTGCTCACTGTTAAACTTCTTAAAAAGCCTCCATAAGCCATGAATATCGTCATTAATTATAAGATCAGTGTCTAAAACTAGGAGCTTGCTGGTAACATTGGCAGGCACCACTTTATTAAACACCAACTTTAGCAGCCCATAGTTGCCGGAGTAATGAGTATTTTGAACCCATCTCACGTCTGTTAGCCACTGGTTCATGTCGTAAAAAGACACATTGACTGAAAATTACTGTTTTACTCACCATTGCGGTACCAATGTGGGCCACCTACCTTGAGGCAGGTTCCAAGACTTAAACAGCACGTTCAAAACGGTCCCCGATTCGTTACTGATTAGGATATGGAAGTGAAGAGAGTTGGACCGGTATAAAAGCATGCTTTTTAGCAGGGCGTGAAAGTATGTGCTGGACTTCACCCCCGAACAAACCACCCCTATGTGGATAATTTCGCAGAAATCGCGCGGCTTGAACTGCTCATCTTTGGCTGTAGAAGTATGGTACAGGTTTTTGGCAAAGTGCCCCATTAACTTCGGCTTTACGCTGTCTAGAAATAGGGCTGCTGGAACGCTCTCTTCGCGCCTAACACTAAAAGCCTTACCTCTTGAACTGTTGCTTTGAATGTAAAGAAATATGGCACAGCTCAAAGCGAACATGACCAACAACACTATCCATGATCGGTTAAATCTATGGAACAATCCATGTCGCCGTTTGTAGAGAATTTTTATGGCTCTGACGATGTTCAGCGGAAACAAGGTCTGCTCTGTTGTATACGTTGCAGCGTCTGCCAGCACTGCTTTTCGCGCTTTACCTGCATCAAATGTGACATAGAATGTTTAATTGAACTACAAAAGCCCCTAATTTATAGGATTTAATAACAATTGCTCTTTTACAACCGTAACATTTGTTCTGTTGAGCTGTTGCCTATTGTTATGTCTCTGATTCTTATAACCTTAATTGTCTTCTTTACAGAACATCCCCCCTGGGGGGATATTTTGTGATCTTCTTCGTCACCCAACCCCCGTCAAGGTTTGCGAATTTTTTAAAGAGCAATTTGGCTCATATTATTTTATTGAAAAATCATCAATTTGATTTTATTACTTGTTTTATTATTAAACGAAGAAAATATATTATTTTGAAATAAACTAATTAAATTTTATTTTTAGTTTGACGAAGACTGAAACGTTTTCATAAAGCGCTACTAAAATTTCTTCCCTTTTAAAATAATCTATAATTGAAGAGATCTTTCGTTTTACGCTCACAAATCGATAAGATTGTTTACAATTAGTTTTTATCATTACAGCGCAAAGGGCTGTGACGTCTCGCCGAAACCGGAACAGCCATGCGGCATGTGGCGCCCTCCAGCTTTGATTGTTGGTAGTCCCATCAGTCATCTGGTAACCGGTAAATTTTTGTCATAATGGTTCAAAATATTCTTTAAAGCGGGCAGTTTTGGTGCTGAAGTGCGAATTTAGGTTTCAGTTACGTTTAGTTCAGTGGCTGGTCTCCTCGATGCAGTATTTAGGTAAATGGTTTGTTAACCCTCATAAAATGTTGTGCACAGCGCAGCCCCTTTGACCCCACGCTCCTCTGTAGTCCTAAACGGACACTATGCTTGCCAGGTTATGTAAGGGGATTTCACCAGATTGCGCTCATTTTGCCGTAAACTGCTCTCAAAGTAATCAGTTTCCAAAGAAACTCCTCAGCATACTTGAGAGTTTTCAATAGGTTAAAGGGGTTGAGAAAAGTTTCCAATTCTAACATGGAGTAGCGCCATGTTGAAAGTTGCATTCCAAAACGTTAAAGCGGAGTTTTAAAAAAATAAGTTACTAATTTTTTTATTTCTGTTGCAGGTAAGTGCTGCATTAATTCCCCCTACTAAGCATGCATTTTTAGTTGGTAAGCACCAATTTGCCAAGGTGTACTTCATTGAAACTATAACTAGTTGATATATTTGCATAATACATATATAATTAATACTAAAACTGACCCGTTTGGGTATTTAAATCTTCATCATAATGCACATATACGAGTACAAGGCCTTGTAAATCTACAAAAAGCGCAATTTTTATTCCAAAACAACCAGCCGTTTGAGCTGGAACACTTACTTGAATAAGAGCTGTAACTTTGACTTGCGCTATTGGCCCGATAGTCATTGCCAACGGCTTCTGAGCTCGGATACAAATCATTTGAAGCGTTCTGAGCGTGCGGGGCGAGTACGTATGCCAGTTTCCCATGAATAGGCTGTCGGCCATGTTGCTACTCTAAAAATTACTCTTTTCTGAACTGTTTGAGCCTTCTGGCTGGTTTCTTATACCTCAACAACGATCATGTGGGCAGCCTGGTAGGTCAGAATCAGTTGAGTGTTGAGGGTGGTGAAATAGGAAAGAACTGGCAGTTGTTGAATTAAGGGCAGCTGTAAAAACCGCCCAAGTAAAGCTCAGCTTGAGGTTGCATTGGAGCACTTACTTGAAGAATCTGATAGGCCAGTAGAGAGAGTTGGAAAGATGAAATGAGAAAGTTTAGCAACGTGAAGAACTGCATGGTGTCGTTTAGCCGTTTAACGAAGCTGAAATTTTGCCTTAAAAGAAATGGCGCAACACGGGTAGTAATGAATACCTACTCAATTATCTGAAGATGCTCCTTCACCAGCACTTTCAGCAACAGAAACTGCGCCATTTCCTGATCAACAGTGTAAAGCTGCTCGTATTCCTCGCCATAGTCTGAAAGGTTGATGAAATAGTGTTGGATAATCTGAAAGCGCACCTTTATAAAGTTGAGAATGCTGATGTACAAGACCCCGCAATATACTATATACGAGTAGCCGATCCTAAAAAAAATATGTAGCTTTATAGCATTAGAACGCGTGATTGAAACTCACAGACATCCAATGAATTGCAGCAAATAGGCTGCCCAGTAGTACTGGTTGGGGTCAAAAGGAAACCAACTAAACACAATGAAGTAGTGGGCTTGAATGCCGGTTTCGTTATTAAACGCCAAGGGAATAAGCGCATTGCCTACTAGAGGCGTAAGAAAGTAGAGGGAAATTCCTACTGTGCCCATCACAGTGTAGCTTAGCACCACTTTCCTATTTTCGTTCGCGTTCTTCATATACAAGCGCTTCACCTTCTGATTGTCGCTCTCAAAGATTTGCTGCTCTTTTTCGTTGATTTCCCTTATCAGTCCTCTCATTGTAGCTGACTTGAATATAGCTACCTAAAAAATGGGCTGATTTAGAACATCCTTAAGAGTACATGAACTGATGATATGCGACCTTATAGGCATTGCTCATATATTCGATCACGATGCCCATGCTGGACGCAGTGGTCAAATAATTTTCCGACCAGGTCAATATGGCCAAAGCAGCGCCGCTGATATTAAAAGCGATGTAATAAATAAACGTAGTTAGGAAATAGAGCTCATATAGCTTCTCTAACCAATCGCCACGATTCAGAGGCCATATGCCTAACATCAGTAGCATTTTTCGGGCGAAACTCAAGTGGTAGACTGCAGGCGGATTGTCTGAAAAATTTCAAGCAATTTAATCGCTGCTAGAATAGGAAAATACCTACCTTCCAGGGCCATTTTTGGACGGAAAGTGCTCAATAAGATAAGATAAAGTATCAGCTTAATAAACGTGCTTGCTCTATGATTGTATAATATATGCAGCCATTACCTACATTTGCCCTTTAATTAATATCCAGAATATTTGAGTATAAGGTCTATGGTTGATTAATAATTCATTTACCTCAGAAGTATTTTTAAAATCTATTATTAAGGACAAATTGACAAAGAAATACTTGGGAAAATTGAAAGCGTACTACTTTTCCAAGTAACTCCATGAATTTCAGTTGATTAAACCTAAAGTTGGTAACGATCATTTGAAAAAAAGTGCTCCAACTCTCCCTGCTTTACTACAAGTGTCTAAGAAACGGCCTTTATTTGCAGTCGTGCCAGTATTATCCAATTATGTGAATATACAAACTCAATCCATTCTTAAAAAACACATTTTATTTAATATGAATTAGAATAATAAATACAATAATGTCCAATTTAGAATGTATATTTTGTTTTTACAAACATCAACTAACTCTTTGTATATTACATTTTAAAATTAATATAATAATTATTATTTACATAATGTACATTATAAAAAAATCACGAATAACCATATTTTATATGAGAAAGCTAAATAACAAAAATAAAGTCAACTAATATAGTTGACGTGTATAAAGGGCCCCTTTACGTGCCTATGACGAACAGTTTGGGTCTGTACAGACGAAACGGTGGTCCAAATGGTGTTCGCCAAAGGCACCAAAAAAGCTATGGCTTTTGAAGTGTCAAAGTTTGTATCATTCAAAAAAAGCGCCAAAGGCTTCTCGCGAACAATTCCATGTTAACAATATTATAAGAGTATGGTAACAAAGTATAAAAGAGATTGTACTAAAATATAACAGTGAACCGCGCTAACCATGCGCACTTATTCCATCCTATAAGATTGAAAGAGTAACAATTAATTACTAGATCAACGCACTGTCGATTGAAGTTTAGTTTCGTCCAGACTCACCGCACTTGTCCAACTCACTTAAACGTCGACGAAACTTTTTGCTGAGTATATTGAAAATTTGATCAGATCTAAAGGCACTGCTACATCACATTTAAAATTGGTTTCTACTGCATAGGGACACTGTTTGGAAGAACAATAACCTAAACTTGCTCTAACTAGTCAATGTCGATAAATTAAAAGGAAAATAAATATCAACTACACACAGACAGGCTTCACACCTCTACACCCAAAGTTCGGTCAACGACGTAGTCAGATGCGAGGCCTGCCTCCTTGCCCTCTATGCTATCACTGTCCTTACTGCTTTGTTCTGGATTGGCTGGGGAAGACTCTTCGTCGGGCAAAAACGGCACAGTCATCTGTGTTCTCGTGAAGAACGCCATCTTCTCCCTGAAAATACAGATAGTTTGTTATAAAGCTTCTTAATATATTGATGGGGAAGATCATTCCGTTAAGGGGTTTACTTGGATAGTACGGGTAAGCAAAGAGTTCAGTTGTTGGCAATCTGAGAATAAATGCGCCTTTAATAGGAAATTAAGAGAATTTATTTTTCCCGTATGCTCCAAATACCCCTAGAGGAATAGCGCCAATTTTGAATCACCCCTTGTGTTTCAGTTACTTACTTGAAGGAAATAATGTCGGGCTTTCCATTGCCTGCTTTCGTTTTGCGCAGCTTGTAAATCTCGCGCGAGACCTTGCGCAGCATTTTTTCCACCCGCTTTTCCTCTTGCGTTTTGGTCGGTCGCTCGGCCTCCGCCACCAGACTCTGGAACTGCTGATTCTCCAGCATGAAAGCGGTGAACTCCGTGTTGCCCTGCTCTTTGGCAACCTCCAGGCGCTGTTTCAGTTCGCGCAACCTCAGCACCTCTGAAGTGAGGGTTTCGAGGCGGGTGTGTTGCGCCTGCAGATCCAGCTCCAGGTCAATGGAGGTTCGGGGAGTTTGGGGAATATGCGACTGCGACTTGCTGGTGCTCAGCTGCGCCATCGAGCAGGACGGTCTTCGGTATCTCAGCGATCTGCGCTCGACCGCATGCCGCTCGAAAGGTTTGCTGCCTCGCCTGTAGAGCGGCATTGCGCTGTCGCTGTCGCTGCGGTTCAGTTTGCAGATGTATTCGTGCTTCGACACGTGAGCACTAGGTGAGAATGTTTGGCTGCGCTTGATTGGCCCCCGATCATCCAGACCGCTCTGCGCAGCCAGTTTCATTTGCTTGGCTTGTTCCGGGTAGAATGCGCATTCGGTGTTGGTTTGCTTGTCTGTTTTAAACATACAAAAATCTCTTCTAGAAGAATTCTTGGTTGAAAACCCGCAGGCACTTACCAAGATACCGCTCCTCGTCGATGTCGTGCTCGTGTACGACGTCTAACTTTTCGTTCGGCCGGAACTCAAGCGGCCGGGCCTCTTCCTCCTCCTCCTCCTCCTCGATATCGTCCTCCTCAGAGTCATCAGCGCTGTCGTACTCAGCGGTTGTTTTCAGGCAGTTGTACAACTCGTCGAAATTCAGATTAATGCCCGTCGGAACCACAGTTTCCTGGTTTCTCGTCAGCGTGCTGGTCTGGGAGGAGATTATGGTGGAGTCATCAGAACTCTCCTCCTTGCCTGTTTGCCTGTCCATCATTTCCTGCTTCTCTCTGCTCTCTAAGTGTCGATCGGCTTTTTGCTTGATCGACTGCTCCACGTACTGCGGCTCCTCCAATAGGCTGAGGATGTTGTACCATTTCTGCGTCGTTGCTTGCACGTTAAAGTCGGCCAGGCTCACTTGCGCGCATCCCTGAAAAAAGAAAGTTTTGAGGAGTTTGCACAGTTTGCAAAGGAACTAACACGTACCACGCAAATATCGGGCTGTCCATCGAATCGACTCCATACGTTCACCTGTAACGTCTTAGTGCATATCTTGTTGGCGGGCACTGGAATGTTGAATATGTCACCAAAAGTTGATTTTCTCAGGTCCTTCACTGGCTTCGAGCTGAATGTCTGCGGCGGGCTTGCCGGCAGAAGGGCCGCTTTTATATGTCTGAAAATTAACAGAATGGCAACGGTTAGAGCAAAAGGGAGTTTTTGGTGTTTTCTGTGTGGGAAAAGAAACAAGTGCAGATCAGGGCGCCTCTACTAAATCCACATGTAGATGATTAACATTGCACACTAGTAAAAATGGTATGAGTAAAAAATGGACTATTGATAGCCGGTTACCTAGTTGAAAACCTCAAAAAGTGGGACACTGTATAAACAAATGATGCGAGGTATTTCTAAAGGGTCCAAGTGCCAGAATTATAGTTTGAGAAAATGTCTTAGATGACCGAATATAAGATGTATAAAAAGGAAATTAACGCCTATTTTACCTAATGTGATCCAAATCGTTAAAGGTTGTTTTTGTTCTTACTAACATTGGGTTTTCTTAGGATATTTTTTCCAACAAACTTGAAATGTTAAGTTTACTCGTGTTTAAGAAAGGCTCTAAAATCTTTTGCGAATCAATCAGTTTTCCTGCATAGTAATTTCTTTTAATTGCTGTATAAATCACACGTATCAGTTTTCGGACGCCCGAATCGAAGATATGGAAAATCTTTTAATACGGATGAATAATGCTATCAGTCATAAAACATATGGATATTTACGTTTGAAAGCCAAGTGAAGACGATTTACATTGAAATCAGTGCTTAGTTTGTGCCCGCTATAATGGTTTTCCTCCACTAAACACCTACTGATATTTTCTTGGTTTAGTTGACTCACCTCTTGCACTTTGCGTTTTTTTTTTACAAGAAACAGACAAGTGGCTTTTATAAATCGTAGAAAGTTCTAATTGCGTATCCGATAAACACACTTGCCGTTGGCACATAGAACGAAAAGAAAATTTGCAAAATGCAATTAAAATTTGAAGACAGCTTCATCTATCAGACGATAAAATAAATAATTTTATTAGGAATTTGAACTTAAAACCTTTCCTAAATCACGAAGCATAGCGCATAGACAATTTTTATGATAAAGCCAGGTTTTGTTCAAGATGGCCTTTAGACCCTCGAGGAATATCACGCTTCAAACGTGTGATCTAATAATCTGAAACGTCTAAAACATCCATTAGAAGTACTTACACTTCAGATGCATCCGGTATGAACAGGGCACTCAAGTTCCTCGCCTTTTCCATTGTAACGTTCAGAATGCCATCGTTGACCACATATCTTATCTTAATTTGTACTTGCGCCGTGTCACTGTCCAGACTGGACCCGAACACACCCGATGCCCTTCTTCGATTAGAGGCCTCAAAGACTCCAGAATCGCCGGCCACCGATTCGTCGCTGACCGCTGCTGAGACCGAGCGCGTATTGGTGCCCGATGAGGAGGTGCGCGAAAGCGCGGGGCCTTGCAACATCTCGTCCAACATCTGGTCCAGGACGGGTGGTGGAGTTTCCGATATAGGAGACAAGGGGGCCTCGCCTGAGCTTTCGTATGAGTAGCGGCTGGGCCTGCCTAAGCCGGAGCCTTGCGACATGTTGGTGGCCTGCGCTTCCAAAAGATCGGTGAGGGGCGATAGACTAGGGATGGACACCCTTGGTGGCATGTAGTTGATGTACTCGTTGCTGCCATTGCTGGGTATCCGCAGTTCGACCAGTTGATCCGACTGCAACTTCCGGTCCTTTTCCACCTGCTCGTATGTGGGTGGCGGTAGGAGACAGGGCAGGTTTTCGTACATCGGAGACACTGGCGGCGATACGGATGACAGCGAACTTCTCGGTGATAGTGAAGGTTGTGATCGCACCGGCGATGGAATATGCGAATTGTCGTTCTTCAGCAGGCGTTCTACGCGACGATGCAAATCTGCCATGTCCACGTTGGAAGCGCCGATGCATTGCGGTCCGCCATAAATGTCCGTGAAACTCAGACCGGAGCTCAGCGAACCCTTGCTACTCGTCGTAGACAGGGATCCTAAGCTACTGCTGCTGCTCACTGACAGCGTGCTTGCCGACAGAGTCTTCAACTGAGACTCCAGATGCGTCATCTGTTTCAAGCCATCCTTGAGCTGCTGCAGCAGCAGCTGCTTCTCTTCGTGCAGTCTCAGTCTATCGGCAATTGCCCTATTGGACATTTCCAGGGCGTTGTTCAGGTCCTGCTCCAGTCTTCGACACTCCTGCTGAATATCGCACATCTCCTCCTTCGAGCGCATGCGAGGCGTGATGCTTCGCAACTCTCTAAGCAGCTGTTCCTTTTCCTGGAAAAGTAACAGTCTGTCCTTGTCCGACTCGGCCTGTCCTGGTTGCACTTTTTCTTCCAGATCGGCCAGTTTCTGTTGGATGGTTTGGATGCGCTTGCGAGCCTCATCGTACTCAAGGCGCATTTTCGCCATTTCAGCCAACCTGGTGCCAATTGGGACTAGTTCACACGATAGATCAGTCTGAGATGCAGTGCTTAGTTTCTCTTGAGGTAGGCTTAGGGTGGACACGTCCGGCGAGCTCTCGGACAGCTGCAATCGCGTTAGGTCGTCTTTCAGCTTGGCCAGCGATTGCATCAGTTCAGCCTTTTCCTTTTCTCCCGACGACAGCGATTTTTGGATGTTTCTCAGTTCGGCCATGATCGCTTGCGCTTCTGCTATGTTGTAGCACGTACCTTGACCCATGCTAAGTTTCTGCTCCACACTGGAAACACAAATAAATACCCTCAGCAAATATGTCCAGAAGAGCTGAAACCCTCAAATAAGGTACTTACTTGGCCAAAGTCTCCACTCCTCTTTGGGTGAAATTCATTTCGTTTCGGATTTGCTCCAGCTCCGATTTCAGTCTGGATACGCGGTTTTTGGCCATGGCCACGTCGGATTTGAGCAGGTCCGGGTCGTACTTGGTACTGATTATGCTCGTTGTCGAACATACTGAAAATGGAACCTCAATCGTTTTTCTCGCACGGTTTTTCCAGTACTTACAGCTGGTTCGCGACGTTGTTAATGTTGCCAGCTCGTTGTTGAGGTGGTTGTACTCGTCCTGTGCCAGCATAAGTCTTTGGGATTTCACTTGGTAAATATCTTTCTTAGCCTGTAACAGAAGACAACCGGTTAGGATGATACGCATAGACGCCTTTAGGCAGATACGTCAAATGCATCTCTATTATTTGATGTAATTATTCGCAGACACCGGCTGATAAAATACAAGGTCTTATAAAGGGCGCGTAAGAGAACGCGACTTGCATAAGTAGCAATCCTAAGTTGTCACCATTTGGTATTAGAATTATAAAGGACTAGTGATGAGCAAAGCAACATCAAGACCAAGACTTGCGTCTAGCATGTTGAGTATTGGTCTTGGAGTGTACCTGTAGGTTGTGATAACCTTGTTTTGATTGGGACCACTGTGGTTGCTTTCCAAGCCAAATGATCGATTTGCGCCTTTGATGCCGCTGTACACACGCGCTTGTTCCCGATTTAGTGCCAATGAAATGGGCAATTTATTGAAGTTCATCTTCTTGGCCGTCGTCGACTTTACACTTGGTTATTGTTCTCGCAATAAATTCGTGCAATTTCAGTAAGACGGACATAAATTACAATGCGAATTCTGTTGTTTTGTGTAGGTAACGATGTATAGATCCGAGCCCTAGAGCCGAATTCTTTGCTTATGCGTCCAAAGTAGCTACTCTTCTTTATTAAATTGCTGAACTTATTGCATGCAACACATATTTTCAATATCTGAAATGCAATAAAAAGAAAAAAAGCCAATTTCCATACTCCAGATTCTCAACAGTGGAGTTAATCAGATGTTACCTTCCTAGAGGTAAAGGACAGGCAAATTCATGTGGTTATACAATTTCTGAGAGACATGGTTTGCTTCCAATATGACAGGCGGTTAAAGTGAAGCAACCAATAAACAATTTGGTCGGGTTTTAATTAATGGCAATCAGTGGCGGTGGCGTAGCGTGATCATTGAATAACAGACTTGTGGAGGCGTAACGCATTCCTTCGCAAATAGATGACATGCAGCAAACACCTTACAAGGCAGAACTTGTACGAGACAATGGCTAGAAGAAAAACGCGCGAATATAATCGATTAATAGACACGGGTGATTTTTAATTAGCAAAGCTGGGCCTACGCTGCCTGATCGGCACATTTGCAAACAAAAGCACAGTACCAAAAGCAGAGGCGTGGAATCAAATGTTAATTGTGTATTTTTCTATGTATGGAAGACACCGATTCACATGGTCAACATTGGTAAAGACCCCAATTTACATGGTTAAAGCTAGCGCCGTCACTTACAATGACTTCGAATCCAGGCAGGGCGCCAGAAGTGTATCGTTTGGGGTCCCGCACTCCGATTCGCACCCCATAATTGCCGACAACATAAGAGGCTGGTAAAGTTAAAAAATGCGACGATCGAAGGGGCTTTGTCAATGGCAAAGTGGTGTGAAGTGGCTCATCTCCTCTAGCCCATGGAAACGAATGCACCCGAAATACCGCGGGTGGAGCAGTGTGGTGCACGTAACACAAAGGCCACATCTCCATCTCGACTGAGCCGGTGTGGTTGTCGGTCCGTCGGCCTTGGTCCGTCCTTCAGGCGGAACCCTGTTGAACCTCTCGGTTCCCCTCCTGACCGATGATGATGGCCCGGGCCACTCTAATTTCCGTGTGCATTCCATCGGGTCGGGGGCAGAGAGCATTGTTTCGGACCGTCGGCCGCCGCACGGCTGCATCTCCTGGGCTTAATGGCAGGCCAACATGAGCGTCGCCAAAGGGTCAATAAGAACGAAACGGCCTCTCAGATCCTCCCCTAGCCTAACGCTGCTCAGACTTCTTGTTAGAGCCTTTGAACTGCGGGGCGACCAACAACGCGGTTATTGTGTGAAAGAGCCTCCGTCTAAGTTGTAGAAGGAATTGAACGGAGCACGCCACTGTACTCATCCGCATCGTGGAATTTACCCTTGGCCGGCAGCAAGCCAGATGCGGGGCAAAGAATGAAGATTCAAGATAACGCAAGAATACGGTTTTTTATTCCTTTTGGGATTTTTTGTTGGCAAGCGAGACCAGACTTTTAATGCATTTTTTCCTTGGAGCCGACCACAGTTCGGCCAGAGTGACGATTGCGCCGTCCGAGCCTTGAGCGCTCGTTCATCTTTTCCATTGTCTGAATGAGACCTCAGTTCGACAGATGTCAACGTTATCGCCTAAACCGTTGTCAGTCAAATGACAGTCCTCAAGCATCCGAAGCCAATGTCGACCTGTTGATGGCCCGGCTCAGAAATCAGAAAGCGCAGCCGGCCCGATCCAAAGGAATTTTGCGTTCGGCCATCATCGGTCCATGTCGGTGGAATGTGGTGGCCTGCTGAGATCGTGCGGCGTAACACAGGTAGCTACTGCATCGCGCTGTTTGTAACCCTTCTCCTCCGCGCCTCTTCGTTTTAATAGGCCCCACACTCTCTGCATAAACGCCGATATCGAGGCATGTTATAGTAGTGAGGACATTGACGTCCCAAATTGTTTTATCTATGACAGCGGGGACCGCATTCCTTTTCGATCTGTCATGGTGCACTTATGCAACCCACAGTAGCACGCACAAGTATGAGCGGCGATGATTGTTAACAGCAAAAAAATACTGACCTATTGGCAATCGCCCACTCCTCTGGTGTTTGATAACAAAAAAAATCGACAAATACTGAAGGTTTTGAGTCCCATTCGAAAAAAAATGCAAATAATTTGAAGGTCAATGAAGATGAGGACAACCACGAATGCTTCATGGGATGGGAGCTGTGCTTCCTAAGGCAGATGATCGGGAGTAATGGATATCAAAACCATTGAAGAGTTCCAAAACAGTGACAGTTGGCACAAAACGTTTGGGACATGAACAAGTAAGTTTGGCGGATAAATGGCAAGTTGGGACGCCCCTGGAGATGGTATGGGTAAAGAGAGAGCAACAGGTCGGGTTTCTCTTCCACCTCCGGTCCTTTCTTCGTGTAGATATGAAGTAGGCTGCGGGTATAGACAACACCGGTAGCTGGTACTCAACTTTTGGAATTTTAAGTAGGCAATAAAAAGGCATTATCAATTTAAGTCGGAGAGCTCCATAAACATATAAATATGATGAATCGCTTAAGAGCATCTAGTAATGGCTGCTAATGTTGCGAAGCAGAAAATATTTTCTGATGTTAGAACGATAGGTGTTAAGGGCCTATAACGTACGTACCTCTAAAACATCTTGAGCAGTTTGCAAATAGTCCCTCAGCATTGCCTCTTGAACGGCCCTCCATTCTTGTCGTGGATCTTCCAGTTGTGTTGATTCTGAAAGAGAAATAGTAGATGTTAAGGAACTGCATAAAAATGAGACTAGGCGGCGTCGTAAAGGCATGCATGAAGAAACGAAGTTGATGGCGTCGGATTTAATCGGCGACACTATATCCGCCTAGGGAGACGACAGTGGAATAATTATTACACGTATTTATGAATTATTTATCTGGTATTTAATACCTTTTTGCTTTTTTCCCATGTGAAGAATTGTAAATATGTTCTGATTGTAATACCGATTTTTTCACGGTCGTGGTTGCAAGCAACCACATTCCGGAAATTCTATTAGGGCTGAAACCGGCATACGAGCGACTTGTAGATTAATTACAGATACGGCGCTGTTTGCGCAGTAATTTAAAATAGAAACGCCAATTCTATGCGCATTCTAACTACAACTGTCCGCTTCAATCATCGGCACATGTTGTGTCAAACTAGTTAAATGAGTGCAACTTACGATTCACGTGGTTAATGTAATACGGCCCAATTTGTCCATCATACGCTTCTTCCCATCCAAGAGGCAATTCGTTTCCAATGCAGTCTGCAAACGTCTGTGGTTTTGTATATCTGCAAGCAAAAATTTGTTCCATTAAATTTAACTCTTAATAAGTTACTAATTACTACAGGTAGAATTGGCGAACTGGCGCCCAATTGCCGGCTAACCGTAATTGCCTCCAGTTCCCATTAGCGATTTATTCACACCTACTTTCCTGATTATCAGAAAATTGAGCCAACGTAATTTACATTATTTGATAGGCTCAAAAATTACTTTACACCGAAGCGAAAGATCAATTGGCTAAAAGCAATGAGAACTGTTCTTATATAATTCGTTGTAAAACCTACTACCTAGGTTACACGCAGGTGTTTATGCACTTTCTGAATTATTGATGGAGTAAATGCAAATTAACGGCGAGCATAATTCATAACATTTCTGCATACTGAAAGTCCGTAAGCGATACGCGAAATGGCCACTCGCTCGAAATAAAACAAATAGATTTGCCGCTGTTTTACAGGGCCTGACATTTAAACATGTACCATGCATGTACGCAGGAGAATTTTATCCATTTTTTAAATTATTATACGACTTTCACTTCGCCGCCTAATTGGATTTGGATTGACCGAAAATGGCCGCTGAACTACTGATCAGTCATCTTCATTCATACGTAGACAGCTGTCTTAGAATGATTTATCCAAATATTCGCCGGAATTTGGGTCTGTATTTACGTCCAGTGGCGTAATCCAGGAAAAACCCTTGATTTATCGCTACAATGATGAGCGAACTGAGCTTAAAATAACCAAATAACTCAATCAATAAACTTTATCATTTTGCCACCAAATATCACTGATCTCACTTAATATCTAGTAAACACGCCACTTTCTACATAGGTATTTAAGAAAATTGGAATATTTCAAGGTCCGAAGGTAGCCTCAAGGCTTCATAGCTCTTATCAGTCGTAAATTAAAATAGCAAATTGTGCAGGTCATTAATTAGGAAAATTGTCACTGTCAACCAATAAACAAACGTAAGAAGATGCCAATGTCAAACAGTGTAAGATCGGTGCTTTGATGCTGGGCGGTCTTTCCAGTGGTACCCCAGGATGTTTTTTCCCGGTGATCCAATCTTGGAGAATCGCTCCCCGCAACATTTTTAGTGCGCATAATAATGGTCGGGAACGGTGCGTGCCAGAGGGAGACCGACGGCGAGCACGACTGAGACGCCGGTACCATCGGAATGCGGTGACGGTCGAGGCGCTGTTGCCGCAACCTCGGCGAGATTTTTTAAATTTTTTACGATTATAAGCGGCGGCATTGAATTCAGGTTTTTCAGTATTGGGCGGGTTTGTGATGGAAGTATGGAATTTAAATCGTCCCCATGCAAAGCGGCGTCATGCGAGTGGGTTGTCACCAAATAGTACAACGCAAATAATGGTCGAAGTTTTCGCTATTAAATTTCTTGACCTGGTCATTGACTGTCATGATGCAGATTTTTATTTGACATTTATTGACAACACGGGCACTGGACTTATGTCACTGTAGTTGTGCTAAGTCACTTCTACACACGAGGTAATAATAATAGAGATGGTCGTAGTGGGCGTGGTCATGTTGACAAGTTTGTGGACCCAAGATCGATGAGCAGCGCCTCAAGATGACTAGGTAGGTATGCATTAAGGCATTCACGTGCCGGAGGCCCAATTGTGAGAATTTTCAATTTTAACGCAACTATACAGGCGACAATGTATATTTTCGGGTCGAGCATCCCAGGAATGTAGTGTGAAAAATAAAACCATAAACGACTTAAATATAGACCCTCATCAACCGGAGGAATGTTAAATACCTTCGGAAAAAATGGTATGCGTGTAATTCGAGACAGATGTTTTATGTTTTTTTCTTCTGCCGGTTTATTGTTTTGACAGCTGGATGATGCCTCTCACAAAGGCATTTCTCGACAGTCGAATTTCTTCTGCTCGGATGTTGTTGGCTTTTCGGATCTTGATTGAAAAGAAGGAGGAAATTGACTCGGCCGGTCAACAAAGAAAAAGAAGATTAATTGCTCGACTCATTGTTGGACCTTGTTTCTAGCAGTACTAAGGGTTTCCATCAAGGAATGGATTGACGTTGGATACTCATTAATAATCGATAATTTTGAACCTGAGGAAGGGAGCGCCGCTGTAAAAGAAACGTACCCGCTCTGTGCAACCATAAAAGCTGAATTTTTACATTCAAGAAATTCTTCCGAAGCCATATATAAGCGCACAGATTGCCAGGTATCTCGAATCAGAATTCTCCGCTGCAAGCAAGAACTGGTGAAATGTGGACGGGGGGAATGTGGAATATCGGATAAAGAAAAAGAACGAGAACCTGCCGTGCATTAATAACCGAAAATCGAAATATTGCCAAGATTAGGAATCGCTTCGAGACATTCCAACTGAAATCGGATCAAATTTTATGCCAAGTGTGCATTCCAATGGCGCGGATAGTGTCGGGTTACCCGATAACCTTTACGAAGGCCAGTTGAACAATCTGCAGCTTATTATGGCCGTGCCTTGCCTGAAAAAATAATACCTACAGCCATTTATGATGTCACTCTCCGAATATGTTTATTACTGTAATTATTCTGCATTGTTTTCATTTTGCATTCCGATCGTACCGGCTTCACAATGGCCTTGGGACATGGTCAGCATCGTTTTTTGCCCTCAAATTGCCAAGAATCCCACTAAGCGCGATATTTGCTATGTATTCTAGATACGACGTCGACTATACATAATAGTTTTTCATTGCTCACTCCGATTAAGGGAAATGACGAAGCCACTCAATCCATGCCAACTACGCTCTCAAATACTCTTAATATAAAAGAGGACATAGGTATACTATTAAACTGTCAATGTTAAGTATCAAGTCCAGTTACCTACCTATAAGTTGAACGTAAGACCACTAGGTTATCTTAAGGTAACAGCCAGTACTGAGTCTAGTGAGCGTTGCAAGACGAAACGAGTTGGTACCGTATTTCGTACCTTTAAACTTTAAAGTTGTATTAAGCGAGAATGTTGCAGGCCAGGATAAAGACAACTGATAACAATAACACCATAAAAGGTGACAGCTGGGCAGTGAGAGAGCACGTTAGATGACGGTTGAGTATGACAGGCACCAGTAGCAGCTACTAGTTTAGCATCCAGTAGCCAAAGACAAAGCCCGATGTAATTAGATTAGAGCCAATAATAGGTGGATACATTCTAGCAAAATAGCGCAGTGCTATTGATGCGTGACCCATTGCAACAAACATTTCAAAGCCAATGATAAATGACTCATGGGACAGGCATGCCCATAATGAACTACATACCGCTAGTTCCGAGGGGTCCATTGCAATGCTGCCAATCGGAGGTTGTGTTTTGGACTGTGATGGCACTTGGGGGGTATTGTGACAAATTAATACGGAGCAGAGCTGAGCCACGCCGTTCGAGATGCAAATTTGCAACACGGCACACAACATATTATCACACTGCTATTTCGACATTTACATACAATGCGCTCTGCACATATAAAATAACAATTAGAATGCCGTTTAGCATTCGTAACGGGCGGTTGTTCAGTACGGGTTCCACTCTGCATTGTCAATGGATCCAACTGGAACAGTTGTTTTGATCCATACAGGTCACAAAGTTCATGTTAAGACCTAACTCATTTGCCACCAACAAGGACTGTCAATGTCAAACCACTAAGATGATTGTCAGACAATGTCAAATTGTGTTCGATTTATAACACGATTTTTCGATAAAACGAGAAACAGATCAAAAAGCATCTAGTAGTCTCTGCCTCATAAAAGAAATAATAAGTGCTGCCCGATGAATGAATGAACTAATTTATATATTGTTTAACCTGTGCTTCTATCAGTTTGTTTAAACATTAAAAAAATGCTGCGTCACAGTGATGTTTTGAATGAAAAAATGAGAAATGTATGCCTTAAAATGAGGAATATAGTGTGCACCAGATAAATTCATTCAACTAGCAATTCTTGCTGGAAGATATTTTTGATATCTCAAACCGCAACCTACTTAGAAACGTGTACTTCGCTGTAATCGCTTGGATGAAACTGGATGTTTCCGTCTCAAATGTGATAACAGACGTGTTGAGCACGAAGAGGAAGTTTTGGTTAAGTTGACCAGAATAGTATTTTTTTGGAGATTGTCTCATTTCTAGATGATGCAACGTTTACTGGCAAAATAAGGATTAGCAAGTAATCGGATTGAAATCGGCGCTGTGTAAAGTGAATCGATGTGAGCTGTGACAAATACGTATTGGTTGAAACTACATATAAAGACGGTAATACCTATAGAGGGCTAGGCAAGCTGCGCGATGCAACAGGCATTTGCTGGGGGTGGCATTGCTTAACTAAAGTGGTTAAGAAAACATTTGCCAATGGAGAAATGCCAAAAACTTGCCTAAGATCTACTTGGATATAATTGGTATTAATACCTAACGACGAATCAAGTAATTTTGTAATTTTGTAATCAAGTAATCAAGTAATTTGTAAGCGACTTTTGAACTTGAAATTTCATTAAATTTATATCCAAGGGAATCTGCCGATTGTCTGAAGGACCAATTGGTTGAACGCAGATTGGATATCGTAAAATTCGAGAAAAAGAAACCGGCATCCAAGCCCTTATGCAAAGGTGCATTTTGCGTGCTTTGTGAATTATCAAAAAACCTTCAATAATGTGAGACAAGCTTATTGAAATATTGATGCAAATTTGGCTGAACGTCGTTAATTGGTAATAATAACCAATTTATATTGGAATCGAACTTCATTGCTATCAATTTTCAACACGTGTGTGTTGAAGGAAGACTCGGAAGATTGTCTAAGTTAAAACAAGCTTATCTCAGAACGTATTGGACTTAGAACTAATGGGAGAATATACAGAAGTGTGCGATATGCGGACGACAGCACACTTTTGGCAGACAAAATAGGGGCTCACTTGGGGAGTACGAGAAAAGCATTTGAAAAGAAAAATTACGATCTTTAATGAAATTATGAAATTTTTTTATATTAAACAAATCCCCATCATTCAACGTTATTGATTCTTCAACTTTTTGAAGAAAATTAAAACTGGTAACGAGTTTTTTGCCATGACCAGAGCTTTTGTCAAGAATAACAAGCAGTTGTCAAATTTTTGTTGTGAAATCATACTAAAATTATAAACCTTGAAATCTGGGGCATATTATGAGAAATGGCCAAATATATTGTTTTAGCTTTTGCTGCAAAGGCAGGTAAATGGAAGATCATCACAGCTCAATAAAACACGGTCACGATTTTATACGAGAACTTAGGCCTGGGCAACACACGGAATTTTCACATCTAACAAAAAAAGCCATCAATATATTGCTTTTGTGCATACAATTTCTTGAAACTATTTGGTTGAAAACGTGAAAATCCGGAAATTTCGATAAAAACATTCCAGAGCGATGAGGGTGACGATTTCTTCAAATATTGATTATATGCTTTTGCTTTCTATGGTCGTTTTTTGAGATGACCTAAATTTTGCCGAAAAAAAAACAAGATAACTTTGTTTCGATTTTGTCCCAAATTCAAAGGTAAAATGGGTATTCGAAAAAGACGATAAAGAAGATCAAACTGTGAAGACGATTTTTCTTGTAAATCCATCTTTTACAGTAAAACGTTGGGAAAACACGCGTTGTCCTGATTAGTGAGAGTTTTGTTTAGAAATATTGACCTAAAAATGAAGAAACCGGAATTTAAATAAACCCAAATTATTCACAGCCACAAAAGTGACGAGTTTTCCAAATAATTGATTCTAAACTTTCACTTGTTCTGTTCGGGGAAATATTTCTGGGAAAAAATCCAGAAAAAATTATTAGGGTTTTGTCCAAAATGCGAAGCTGCAAAAGGTTCCAGAAATGTTTTTTACAAAGCTGTTTACGAGCCGAGTGTCAGTAAAATTTATTTTACAATTTTCACAGAAAATACCTGAAGATTGTCAGTATAAATAATATGTTTTTTTTTGCGTAGAAAGAATTGCTTAATAGAAACTTTGCTAAAATTGGAATGACCTGAAATTTTAAATAAACTTTAAAAATCTTCAAAGCGATGAGGGCGGCGAATTTTCTAAATTATTTTTTGTAAACTTTTGCTCTGGTCGTTCTTAATCTTAATTACTTTCGGTGAAAAACTGAATTATTTGGTTTTTGTGTCAAATTCGAAGCTGAAAAGGGTTTTCTAAAGTTTTCTGTAAACCGATGAATGAGGGAATTTGCGTTTTTGATTAAAAACTTTTGGTTTTGGATCGTTTTTTTTTGCGAAAACCTTAATATTTTTCGGGGAAAGACGGAAATTTTATTTTCGTTTTTTTTAAATTCCTACAAAGCTATAATTGTATCTTGTATTTTTTCGCGTAAAATACATCCAAATCGTCAGTATTTTTAAGTAAAACTCTACAAAATAGAGCGAAAGCAAAGCGAAAAAAAATTCAGTAAAAACTAAAAAACCACATTTTTTAAACCACAGTCTTCAGAGGAATGTAAGTCACGCGTTTTCCAAAACTTTATTATAAACTTTCGCTGATTCAGTTCGTTTTTTGTTAGAAAATTATTTGATTTTTGTCCTAAATTCGATGCTGTAAAGGGATTTCAAAACTTTTAACAAAGCGACGAAGGAGGCGAGTGTTCAAATAACATTTATTTCATAATTTTTCGCGAAAAATACCTTAAATAGTACCTTTGCTAAAACTGGACAATTCTGAAATTTTGAAGAAATGTTAAAAATATTATTGATAAATGACCCTTAAAATAAATCTAAAAATAAGTAAAAAAAGTCATCAACATTTCGCAGCAACGCAACTGAGTTAATGCGCCGGTGCATTGGGTTGGCGCACCAAGACATTTGCGTAGCATTGTGCTAACTCCTAAAAATTAATTGAGTTACCCAGGCCTACGAGAAGTGCAGGACTTTTTGGAGCAGCTGCTGATAAAGTATAACTGATAAGCTACACAAGAAAATAAACCTGGATCTTTCCAGAGTAATTGCAAAAGGGCGAATCAAAACTGCGATTGTTAACAGTCGGGAAAAAATTGGATTTCTCATTGTTAATGAATGTTCCAGAACATAGGACACTTAGAGGTGTTACGCCGCCTCAAAGATGGAAATAGAGGCAACTCTCAGGGGTAGGAAGTTGTGGCTCTTAAAGCCTTGAAATACCCAACAGTGTCTCTGTTGGACAGCCAATCTCGGTTGTAATGTTTGGTACGGATTCCTGAGCGGAGATTTATGGATTTGGAAGCCAGATGCCAAAATAGCGGCGCCGTAAATAATGCCCACACAAAACGGGTTTTCTGACGCCATGCCGTCTCTCTTCGATTACAAATTTTCCAATTAAAACACACTGTGACTGAAATGGAACCAAAAAGTGGATTATTGACTCCAGATCCAGATGTTGCCAAGCAGCAACGAATCGAACGCAACTAGCTAACACCTGTCGAAAACATCCAAGTTCAAAGAATCGATGGCATTATTATTATTGCACGGTAATATAAATAGCCGTTTTCCATTTACATGTCAATACCGGGAAAAAAATCTGAAGTAATTCGTTTGTTTTCCTGGTAGGCGATGGTCTGGGTTGCCTCACGCTGAATTACTCAGAAAAAAAGAATGCGTTCTAAGCCAAGGAAATTGTTTAGGGATTTGTAAAACTATACGTGGGCGAATAAAAGATTAGCCGACAAGATAATAGAGCGCCTATACATACGTATAGGTAAGTAACGTCAAATTTTGACAGATTGCATAACTCAACAAACCCACTAAGCCAATAGAGCTGTATTTGACGAGGGTTTATTCAATGTAATGGACATTACAAAAAACGCGTATTTAAATTCAAGAATGTGTTACGGAGGTTTGTTGAGGCACCAAGGTCTGCAGTAAGTACTTACAAAAATGGTGTCTTGGATGATTGGAGGTACACAGACAGATTGAGGTATATAAGACGAGCTGACAATATGAAAGAGGACTTAAATTTAAAAAAAGATTCAATTAATTAGCTAGTCATTATATGAGGTAATTAAATAGACAGACATGGAACAAGCGGCTGATACCGACCCTGCTTATTGTGTATCGTCTGGAATCGAAAATTTGCATTAATTTAACTGGTCCCCTGACGCAAGCCGCTCACAGAAAGATTGTAAATATTTTTAGATACAATAAATCTAATATTTATTCTCCGAAATGTGCATATTTTCCGAGCGGCGGCAGCACCTTTGCCGAAGGTTTTTAAATGTAATAAAATTCTTGCATACCTTTGCCGTTTCGAAAGCAGCATACCGACCATTCCGAGTGTGAGACATTTGGATAGTTTTACTTTGGGTTATCGAGTGATTGGGGGGAGGGCAATTGCAACGGGTTTAAGGCCTGGAAAGTGGGCGCTTGTTTGATGCGAGAAAAATCGACCGAAAACAAGTCTGCAAAGGTCGAGATATAAGCGGCGGATTAAATAGGGCAAGATTGGACAGTTGTATGGTATTGTCAACGATCAGATCTCCTATCGAGATGGTTCTAGGCCTTAAAATTGATGGAATGCGGCTCGGATCATACCTGTCTCTCGGGTCAATCCATGTCGTTTTCTTCGAATTGTGGTCAATAAAGTATATTTTCCCGTCGTAATCACGTCCGAAATCCCAACCATCGGGCAGTGGAATTTCGCCATTCCTTTTTCTAGGCATTATTTTGCATTAAAATCCATTCAACCCCACTGAATCCTGCGCGCACACACACACACCACTCTAACAACTACGCACGGCCATGTTGAATGTTGAACACATTATTATCAAGAACCACGAACGGTCGTGGACTAGTGACGTCATACCGATCCGGACCAATCGCACGGCTTTAACCTCGAGTAAGGAATGCGACTGACTAGCGTATTAAACACACCGAACATATAGCATACGTACGCTATATGTTCTCCACTGGGAAGTGCAAACTATTTAAAACGAACGCCTACAGTACCGCTCTTTATCGTTAATATTAATTAATACTACCTACTGATTTGTTCTTAATCGGTCGTTAACTCCGAAAAAATGCGGACAGGAATGCGCGACTGACTTCACTCCATTTTTTCAGCACCAGCAGCTTTAAATGTTTATGTCTTTTCCCTCCTAAACACCGCTCAACTATCATTAATACTTGGTTAGGCGCAAGCTTCCCTAGTTCATCCTGTTCCAGTTACAAGGGAGTTTTCCGCCATAGCCCTATTGCAACCAGTAAATTTTCAGATGTATCAATATTAACAAACTAATTAAAATGACAAATATTAGAGAAAAGCTAAGAGAATGTCCGTCGCCACCTATTCCCTTACTGGGTCACTTAGATTGTAGATTTCGACTGACCAATATTTGCTCTATTCTTGACTATAACGACAGTAACAGTTTATTTGCGCATTCGCCAATCCGCATTTGCCAATCCACCAAGAACGAATCTGCGCATAAACAGCATCTAACCTTCAAGCAATCAACGTGTCAAAAACATATGTCAAATCAAAATAAAAATTAAAACGTACTAGGTTCATCATACCCCTTAACTCTTCAACAGTATGGAGACTTCAGATAGTGAGTGCTTTGAGAGTGCCGATGAGGACTTTGTGTCGGATTTTGAGGATGAAAGAGGGCAGGCGTCAACATTGCACCATAAGTTAATTGAGCCAGAACTGTGCAAGCTCAAGATACAAGAGCGTGATGACATTAAAGAGCGAAATGATGATGAAAAGCTGCCTGCTGAGCCAATAAGCCCCAAATTGGCTGAACCAAAGGTCCAAAGCGCTGGAACAAAGGAGGCCATTGAATGTCTTACAGAAGAGATTCCAAGCAGGCCTGGAACGACTGGTAAGGCTTAAAGGCTAGAGTTCAAATTGCACCTGAACTTGCGAAACACTGTATATGGAATTATAGTCATACTAAATATACAGGGTGTTCGGAAATAAGCAGTGATATTTCGGGAGATTAAAATAATAAAAGTACGGTAACTTTCTAGTGAGTAAGTAAGTTAACTATATGCTCACTTTATAGATCTTTTAACTAAGAACATTTCTTATTGGTGTTTCTTGTATCAAATCGTATAGTAGAAAATATTGCTAAAATAATATTCAGACTCCATTCCACTACCTCTATCAACTACCCTCTGAAACTTTTAGTTGTGTTGGTTTTCAGACAATTTACAACAGACTAACAACCGCGCAGTAGAAAAGCCGCAACAAATTAGCAAGAATGAAACTTTGATCAGTCCTGTGGAATCCAAAGGCTCTACTGAAGTTCCCGACAGCTTCCAGCTGCAAGCAGACGAAAACTTATGGGACGAAGACGAGCTGGACTGGGGATCAGAAGCTGCCAAAGAGCAGCCATTAAAGCTTAACGAATCTGTGCAGTCGACGCCTGAATCCAAAAACCAAGACAGTGGGTGGGATGATTTTGATGTGGATTGGGAATCAGAGCCTTCACTTTCCAACCAGTCTAAACCCGCTACTGTGAGTAGCACGGAGAAAAGTTATAGCAATGCTGAGGATGATGGATGGGAGTCTGTGGAAGCACCAAAGGACACATCCAATGAAAAACAGGATTCCGACGCTAGTTGGAATCTGTTTGGCAGATGGGGCATTTCTTCGATGCTCAACAGCGCTTCTGCTGGCGTTTCTACCATAAGAACCAATCTCTCTACGGCATTGGAAGGAAGCATCGGGATTCCAGCTGATGAAGACCTAGCCAAAGCCAAAGTATTAGAAACAAGCAATCAAGCAGCGTCGGAATACTGTGAAGAACCTTCAAGTGGTTTTGGGTTCAGCAATTTAGTATCAGGAGTGACCAAGTTTGTGGAGTCAACGGGCACAAAAGTAATCACTGGAGGTCTGGACACTTTGGAAGCGATCGGCAAGAAAACAGTGGAGGTTCTTCAAGATGGCGATCCAGGCCTGAAGAAGAAGCGCGCCTTTCTTAAACTGGACACCATGGGCAAGCCAAATCTGTCGCAAACACTGCGCGAAGCCAAAGAGCAAGCCGAAAAGGAGATGGCAGATATTTCGCAAAAGGACAAGGAAAAACGGCGAAACAAGAATTATGAAACACTGTTTGATGACCACCAAGGGCTGGTGCATCTTGAGGCGTTAGAAATGTTGTCGAAACTATGCAGCATCAAGCTGGATAATCTCAACAACTCCCTTTCGGGTAGCGCGTTGAAGGACATGCAGGAAACCTTGGAACAGGTCAAAGAGCTATGTGAACTGCCAGAGGACGAAGAGGACGACAAAGTGCCCAGTCACGAAACCCAGGAGAGCTTGTCTACTGCAGTCAAGGAAATAAACATTCCCCTTTCCTATGAGAAGTTATTGGCTGTACATGAAGAAGCAGACGTTTGGATTCAAACAGCTGACGCGGACCCGGAGGACGTGCACCAGCGAGCCATAGACACTTTGGCTCAAATCACCGCTCTTGCAGTTGAACAGTATCATAAAGCTGGAGAGTTGCTATTAGTCAAAGACCACCGAAGCACTGCGGATGAGGCTGACAGCCTAGTACAGTGAGTGTCTGCGTTTGATTGAGTTTTCTCCACTTTAAATGCGAACGCTTTCAGGATAACTACCGTTGTGAAGTCCATCATTCGCAGCCAGGCTGAAACATTCACGGACCGACTGAATTCCATCGGGAATTCTAGCAAAGACGAGATTAATGCTCATATTACCAACATTTTTTACGAGGTATGAGTTCGCAATGGCGATTTTAGTAGGTCAAGTTGAGGCATTTGAGGTATTTCAGGCTGGTAACAGTGGAACGTACATTCAGGACGCCTTCCAGCTGCTGATTCCCGTTCTGCAAGTGGGCGCGGTTTGAATATAGGCTTATCATTGGGCGATCTGTACATACTGCAAATGTAAGTTAAGTGTAATAACAGATTTTTTTAATGAGAGTGCTATTTTTATTGACTTCCTTTGAACTTATTATGAGTATCTGGGCCCCGGAAAGTAAAGCGGGGTCTACATACAGAGTGTCCCAACTATACAAATATTCGCAATTATACAGCGTGCGACAACGTGGCAGCGCAGAAAACAACTTTTTCTAGTGAAACCCTATGTTACCTTTACAATATGACCTAGTTTGTTCTATCGTTGGGACATTCTATGCTAGATGATTCAATGTGGAAATAGGAATATGAAACGGATGATAGAATTACCAAAAAAGGAGTAAACAGGTCAAATCCGAATGAATTTTCAACATTTTCGAAACGGTTCCAAGACGAATTTTCCAATTAATGCCGACTTTGAGTGGGCGGTCTGCTTGCCTGATAAGCATGCTTTAAACCGCTCTTTGTCCCCCGTCTCGAATCTTTTATACGTGACGGCTTTAATTATCGCATTTCATTTAAATGTGTTGGCAAGTGATAAGTAGCCGGCGTTGTTCTCTATAAGGCTACTAAAATGCCAAATGCTGCACTGCTTTATATGATTTTGTGCGAATTTCTATGCTTTGTAAATGGGCTGCAATGCATGGACCCAACCAACAACCCTGTAGACTGGTGAGTTACTGCTCTTACCACTTGGGCGGGTTCTAAGAGCGCAAATTGCAGGTATGTGATATACAAGTTGCCAAAGCAGCGCTCGCATAGTAACCCGTTGGTCAGGGAAGGCCTGGGTTTTATGTACATGACCTCAAGTGGCGAGGACCAATGGAGATTGTCGGAAGTAGATATTAATGATACCAGGTCTATGGTGGCTCACACCCTAAGCTCTCGATGGCAGAATTATTTTTACCTACTCTATAACGACCAGCCGCCGTATGGGGATGCGTCAGAGCTCAAAGGCCACACGAAAGGGGTTGTAATGGCAAATGCCAGTGGGGGATTTTGGCTTATTCATTCAGTGCCCCATTTTCCTCTCAGTTTGGAGCAATATGCCTATCCGAAGAGTGGCACTCACTTTGGGCAAAGTTTTCTTTGTGTCAGCCTGGGTCTGGAGGCACTTAACAGCGTAGGTAAATAATGTATACGAGATGTTTAATAATGGTTTTACGTTTTTGACAAACAGTATTAGATCTTGCGGTCTATCGGAAATCTCTGTAAATGTTAGTGTTATCAAAAAAGTAGTGTAGATGTCACGTGCTCTTTTTAGATCAATCTTAAATAACTGGTAAAATCAAAATTTAATCAATCAATCAAAAGTACACTAAGAAAAGCTTTTTCTGTTCATTTTAATAAGGCAGTATGAAAACAGTATAGTCGTTATTGTCAAAATAAGTGCCGACTGTTCTATATTTTGATCCACTGCCCATCATAGAAGCGAGTGATTAAGAAGCATCATTACATTTAACTAAACTCATTCGCAATGAGTCTGATATGAAAAGTCGTGGATACGTAGAGGTCACATCCGATTTTCCTTAGGGCTGCAGTTGCTGTACAATGAGCCCCACATTTACGCGCAAAACGTCCCAACAGACCTAAAGGAGCGGTTGGCCGTACTTTCCAGAGCCGCCAACAATGAAACGATACAATCTGCCCCTTGGTATCACGTACAAAACATTACTTCGTCGGCAGGGCTCAAGTTCATATCCTTTGCAAAAGCGCGGAAGTTCAACAAGGATTTGTACGCTGATCTGGTCAGTCCTGCTTTAAGGAGCAATTTATATGTTGAAACCTGGCCCAATGAGCCTCATCGGTTGCCCTCCAATTGCCAACATAAGTTTCAGTAAGCGTGTGCGGTTTATTTGAACAAAAAGTGATGGGCTTTTTGCAGAGTGGATAACATTATGTCTATATCATCGCAGCACCCGGCGGTGTCATTCAGTGCAACGGTGGATCACTCCAAGTGGGCCGTCTCGTCTCCTAAGGACTTATCGAAGTGGGTTTGCATTGGGGACATAAATAGGGCGGTAAGTGTTTCGAAGTAGATGAAAAATAGCCAGGTGGTTAATTGCCAGTCTACAGCAGTCACAAACTACGAGAGGCGGGGGCACTACCTGCTTAAACAGCAGCTTAGTAGCCGGTAGATATTTGGGAATTGTTGCCAAAGTGCAAACGTGCAGTAAGCCAATCAACAATGCTTTATTCAAGGATGAAATAAATGCCGTTGGAGAAAAAATCTGAAGGCCAATCGACAACTTCGTGATCCCTTGACCGTTACTGGCACTTATTTAGCACTCCAGGTAGCTTCATGTAATTTTTATATAATAAACTATCTACGATCGCGCCTACCGGGACTGACGTTTTTTATTGTATTTCCTAAAGAACAGCGATCTGTAAATGTTCCTTTCTCCGTGATACATGCAAACTCAACCAGACGGGCTTAAGCGAGGCGTTTGGATTCACCCCATATCATTATAATAATTAGGATTTTTTACGATCTATTAATAATCAATCCTATCTTATCACGTTACATCCAATCTTATACCTAAACAATACCGTAATAATGAATACATTGCGAATTAATTTAAGATGGTTATTTTGGATATTTACATGACTCAAATTGCACAGAAATGAACGCTTACAACCAACTACGGTGCCGGAATGATGAACTACTGAATTTTTAGCTGGCTGTATGCGATATCACCAGCCAGGAAATGATAAAGTAAAACAAGCCGATCGGGTACACTGCCAACAGTTTCCTTCCAGGTTTCTGGCTGTCGCCTAAGAAGATCATGGAGGCTGAAATTCCTGAGCTTAGTAACAAATTCAGCAATTTCGAGTACGAAACTCACCGTAAGTGGCCCATACAAACCCGCCCATTGATACTGAGAATCTGATGAAAAACAGCAGATAGGACTGGTCGAACAGCAAAATCACTCTACAGACTATCAGTGCTATAGTTGTGGGCAGGAGGCAGTACCCAAGAACGCATACGCTTTGGAAAAACGATCTGGAATGAAAATTGATATAGTATTTTGAGTTGTCGCTGCTTGAGACACTTACATGTTTCCACCTAAAAGCTTCGAGTTTAATGTAACAATCATTGAACCAATCCAAACAATAACAAAAACTTCTGCAAACTCCGGCCCGCCGTCGTTCGTATTGTCTGCTGTAGAACCGCCTTGGAGCACCCTGCAGAAGCTCACAACGTGAGTGGGAAACTTTACAAATTTGCATACTCACATTGCCATGAAGGTGCAGAGCATCAGGGGGCCCCACAAGTCCCCTGAAATCAATTAGTCACAACTCCACTCAGTCTAGATTAGAAAAAACTTCACTTACATTCTTTCAACAAAGTTTTCTTCTCTTTGGGCAATAGAACATGACTGAACTTAACGCCCACAGCCTTTACATCCCTCAACTGAAAAACGGCAATTGTAACAGCCCCAATTTAAAGCGAGTGGGTCAACTTACTATGGTCTCCTTGACAGGTTCATCTAGGGTATTAAAATCGGGCCGACCGGGATTTTGAGTATTCTTACTCGACGGGACGCTCATCTCGCCTTCCAGGTAGCCCTCCACATCATCGTACATCTGGAAAATAAGGCAAATTTAGTGATGTGTATTCAACTGCACTATAAACAATTGATGAAAACGGGTAACAACCTCAAGCTTCGTGTGATCCATGGTCTCCGGGATATTGTCATTCAATTTCTATACGGAATTCTTCATTAATTTTAGGTTTAATCGTGTTTTTTAACTAATTAAGATAGAAAAAGGGGCAAAACATCTATTGTTATTTTGACGTTGTGGTAGCTGACACTGACACTGACAAGGACAAGACCTCGATTAATGATTCGGATAAAAGGATTTATAAAAACTGGTAATAAAACCAATTTAATTTAAATACTTATTTTCCTAACGTATTTTTTTCCACATGTGTTAATTCGTTTATGTTAATTTTGATATGAAAATGGCAAATACATTTGTCTATCAATATTGTAAACTTTGCATGATGTCTTGAGAGTTCTCATCGGGCCACGCCTATTAATTCCGGGTTTTTTTCTACTATGGTCAAATTTTTTGTGATCCGTGCGTCCGTTTGTTATTGAATGACAAATAATTTACAGGTTATAATTTTGATCGGAGCGCTAAATTGTTAGAATTCCAGTTACTGAAAAGCCTAGAGAAAAAAATAGTGAGTAGTCTGTGTGAATAGCGGAGACTACATTAATTTTGCCAACTGTATTGCTCTAAGTACTTACAATTATATTTTAGAATAATGGCAAGCGGATTTCCTTTGGGGACGGGGTGTGTAACGACACAGTGCTAAGCATTGCTTCAGCTAGGCAATAATAAATGCTTCAACAATAAATCTTCCCATTCTTTTCAGAACGACTAATTCTATAACATTTGGGAGTACTACAATCACCTTGATTAAGTCGACGTCTCAACCTCAACCTCAGCCGGGAAAATTCAGTGTCGTGCCAGTTTCAACCCCAGCGAGCACCAAAGCTTCGATGTTCGGTTCTACTGGTGCAAGTCCAAGTGAAAAATGAAATAATATCTGCCCGGCATTAGTTAACTGTTGTGAATAATTATAGCTCTACCTGCAACGCAGGCACGGTTTGGGGCCCCTAGCACAGCTACAGGCGTCTTTGGAACCCCTGCGGCCTCCACAGCACCTACGTTGTCTTTTGGGACTCCTACTGCCGGTTCGGGCTTGTTTGCCGCCCCTGCGACAAACACAGCGCCTACGTTTGGGGCTCCTAATGTAGGAACGGCCAGCGCCGCGCCTACTTTATCGTTTGGGGCTCAAAATCCAGGTGCGGCCAGCACAGTGCCTACGTTGTCTTTTGGTGCCCCACCAGCCAGTTCTGCAAGCCCGTTTGGTGCTCCAACAACAACAACTGGTAAATACTATGTTATAGGGATTGTTATAAGTTAACTGTGCATGTTAAGTGTGAGTAATATGACTGTAATTGTAAGCAATGTATTTTTTCAGCCCCGCCAAGTTTTGGTGCGTCTATTGGCCAGTCCAACTTCGGATTAATCGGATCAGCGCCTTTGGGTTTTGGCGCGTCGATTGCTAACACGTCGGCTCCCAATGCAGGGTTTGGGCTTAGTAGCAGTGTTTCAACAGGAAGCCTGAAATTGGGGGCGAGCACCAATGCGCCTACATTAAATTTCGGTAAATTACCAATCAAACCACATACAGAAAAAAATTAGTTTGACACCATTGCATACATCAAATAATAGTCGTATTTTCCAGTTAATTTTTAATTTTTATTTAAGGACTGGGCGGTCTAGGAGCAAGCTCAGCAGGCGCTAGTGCGCTCTCAGCACCGAGTTCCGTGTCAGTGGGATTGGGGGGCATTGCATCATCAATCCAAGGAAAAACCGCTGTAGCCACCCAAAAAGACATTTCGCCAAAAGAGCAGACTTTGCCTAATGAAATTCTTCAAACCGTGGAAAGTTTCAAAGATATGGTCAAGCAGCAGAAGGCACACAGTTCGGATATTTCTCGCTGTTCGATCAGGGACTTCAGGCGAGTTGAGCAGGAAATCGATCTGCTGACCAGTCAACTTAACGAGGTTGAAACGGAACTGCAAAGAAACAGACAAGTGGCTGAGAAGCTGAAATATGACACAGCCAAGACGGTGCAACACGTGGAAATGGCTCAGAGGACTCACGATACCCCATCTGGCTTGCAGTACGAAAACACTGCACCAATGAAGTTCTTCTCGAACCTGGCTGATGACTTTGAGAACAGTATGCAGTCTCTGAAGCTGCAAATCGAAACCATGGAGAAGTATGTGAAGAACCTCAAGGGTCCCTACTTAGTATCCCCGCAAGGTGAGCGTTGACTTGAATTTTTATATAGAAGACACTCCACGAGAGAAGTATTTGCAGATCTGTCGATGGGTATGAAAAGACTGCACGAGACTTTTGTGGCGTTGGCTGGGCGGTTGCAGGCTGTTCACAGCCAAGTGGAAACCCAGAAGGAGCTCTACATGAACATTCGGAAGCACCTGCTTCAAGACACCAGCAATCCCTTCGAAAAGCTAGAAAACGCACCGGCTGTTCATATGGCTAACTCGAACGCATTCGCACTTTCGCCCCCTAAAGTTGCTAGTGGCCCCACGCCCTTCAGCAATATGGCCGTTATTAGCGTGAGCGCTTCGCCTCCTCAACAGCCCTCGGGCCAACCTCCCGCCTATCCTGGATCCTTTTCTAGTCAGCCAGGAACAGGTAGGTTTTTCTGAAAAGCCAGGCACTCAAAGCATGCGTTCCGAGTCCCCCATTTATCATTAGAAGAAAATCGTATCTGAAAGAACTTTTGATTTTTGTATGTTGTATGAAGGTTTTCTTTCCGTCGGGTTCGGAGCTTCAGGTGGAACTCAGACATCCAATACTTCCTTATTTGGTTCAGTTGGTAGTTTTAATCAGTTTTTTAACAGTAGTTTTTAGTTGAAAAACCGCACAGCGGTAGTAAACGTGGCAAAATGTGATTGATCTACCAAAACTGTTTCAACTGCCAAGCATTGTATGGAAATAAATAATTTTTGCTGAAGACTTCTTGATTGACGGCTATTTTGAATTTCCCGCTATTCGTTGGTAATATAATTTTATAATGGCAGCACTGATTGAGATTGTGCTCTATAACCTTGAAAAACTCACCATAACCCCACATAAGCATTGTTCTATGCACATGATCCATAAACTGTCTTCAAAAACAACTTTGACTAGTTTCTCGAGAACACCAAGTTTATCTGCTCCAAGCCATGTCTTTATTAAATAAGCTGTGCCCAACCTATAGCAAACTCCCCGTAGTGCTGCAAAAGGTTATCTAGCTAGGCCATGTTTGGCAATACTTAAGTCACAAATACTTTTTCGCAGTTTATTCAAGTGCGGAACTCCGGTTACAACACGTCGCTGTTCTTAGAAGATGTAGGCCCAGTGAGTCGCCAATATGAGATCACAAAAGACCCGACAGATTGGGAGCATGTCAAGAACTTGTTACCCGCGACTGTGGTGCCTAAACCTTTAGAAAAGACCACTTATCCTTCAGGTTTGATATAGACGGGCGTTTGCCTGGGCACTTGTTCAAATGCGTCCCCGTAGGATGGAAACCGCAAGCCAAAGATTTGTCAGATCGGCCCTATTTTGTACCAAGGACCAAAAACTACATGATACCTTGCTATTTGAAAATCAGTAGCTTGCAGTTGAAAAGGACCACGATTATCAGGCACATTGAGGGCGATATTTGGCTTTTGGAGAAGGAGATTAAGGAGTTTCTTGCGCCCCAATTCTTCCAGCCCATCAGATCGCAAGTGAACGAGTTTGCGGGCTATATAAGAATCAACGGCGACTATGTAAATGCAGTGAAGCATTTCCTTGAACAGAAGGGTTACTAAACTCGCTTTTTATGTAAGTGGTTTTCAGTATATTAAGTTGGAAAAGATATCTACGTTTCTTAATTGCGCACATAGTCACTGTGCTAATACTTAAAACTGAAATAGAGCTATATTTGAATTGCATTGCTGATCCGTTCTAAGAGTACACGTTCTTCAATAATAACTCAGAATTAACTGTCAATGAATTTCGTTTACTCCGTAATCAACGTTTAAGGTCGACAATACTTATCTATGGAATACACTTACTTAGAAGCTAATTTGTTTAAAGTGAGACACTTTTGGAATTAAAATATTTACATAAAAGGAACGCGTCAACAAGCATCAAGAACAAGTATCACATAGCATGTAAAATACACTTTTGCAACAACAAGTGCGGTTATTGATTCTGAGGTTCATCCGAATTTTGATCCGGCAAGACGCCACTGCGGCTCTTAGGAGAATGAGCGATAGGGTCGGCGGCTGGCCCATTGCTACTGGTCACCTTGAAGAACCGCAGAAGCGGACTATTTGCCGACGTACAAGTTTTAATGTTGCCTTTCGGCGACATTTCCAATCGCGGGGCCTTTGGTGATCTATGGCCCATAATTTCCTGTTGGAAATTGCGCTCGATTCGCAGTCTGGTGAGCCAGTCCTGAGGTCTTCTCTTCGGTGGTGAGTAGTTAAGATGGGGCGCCATGCCATCCACCACAAAGTTGGGTAAATTGTCGAGGTCTTCGGTCCTGAGGTTACCTGGAAAAAAAATCGCCCAGTTATTGGTTGAATAATAAATTGCTGCCGCGCCCAACCTAGAGCTTTGTTGAGGGGTTTCAAGCTTAAACTGTCCTCTTCTGAGGGGAAAGCCTGGTCCGAAGTGTCGTCTTTCTTAAAGTTTCTCGCCAAGTGAGCGAACAGTCTTCGAGGGCCGAAACTAGTCTGAATTCGTTTGCTTTCGCTAAATAATTCGGAATCGGCTTTCCGTTTAGAAGTCGGAGGCAAGCAGTTGTCACACAGTGTGTTTGTGAAGGTCGTTCTTTGGCAGTTTTTACACTGCCAAATGGTTTTCTTCGGCAATAAATTCGGTTCGTGGAAACATCGGCGTTTCCTAAAATGTTCTCTGTTCGTTTAAGCCGACTTGCTGCAGCCTTTAATGCACTTACCTGGAGGCGGTTTGGTTAGCTGGGAATGGCAGGATTTCGGCGCGCCCTTGTTCATTATCCGTTGAATCTAGATTGCTAATTTTCCACAGCTTGTAGGACATATCGTCCGAGCAAGTCACAAGAGCCGGCGCCGCCTTCCTATTGCACCACGCAACACTACTAACCTAAATCGGGAGAATAAATGACCACTTCTTCTCTCTCATCTATTAGTTACCTCTGAGCTATGTCCGACTAATTTTACAATTGGTTGCGGATACCCAAGATTCCATATATAGGCATTCTCATCCGTGCTGCCGCTCACCAAGTAATTCTCGTCCTTGGACAGCGAGGCCCTGATATAAAAGGTATTGTTTTGGTGTCCCCTATATTTCATCATTGGCTCGGGGTTATAAGTGGCTATGTTGTAGCAGTAAATAGTACTGTCCAGGCAGTTCGCGTAGAGTCGGACACCTAGAGTTTAGTCACATTTTATTTAGAGCGAAGGCGCAATTTTGAGCATTTGGCAAAACGTGGCTGTTATGATTTATAAGCACAGGGTATGTAGTAATCAGCGGCCCGAGTTGAGCAGTGACAAATAAGGGATGGTGCGATTGATGCTTGTTAATACTAACCAGCATTATCAATGACCAGGTTACTGCAGCCGTTTTTGCCGGTTGTGCCGCTATAGCGAATGGAATACTTGGGCAGTGGGTCCTTTTTGTAGACTGTGTAGTGTTTCCGTAGATCCCAAACTTTAATCATGCCGTCGTAAGACCCGCAAGATATCAAAGTGTTGATGTTTTGGAACACTAAGCTCGTGACGCTCTTTACGTCTGAAAGTAGAAAACCCGATAGTAAAGTAAAAACTCTGCTGCTTCCTGAAGGCAATTTACTTAGATTTGGGATGCCGCCGTGCCTTCTCTTGACCTTGAATGGGGTATCCCCATGGGAATTTCTTATGGTGCTATCCGGTTTTATCAGGGAACTGTGTTGTTGAGTTCGGGTGTCCCAAATAATTATGTTGCCGTCCCTACTGCCTATATAAGTTTAGTAGTTTTTGCAGCAGAACTTTAGCAATAACAATAACAATTTTACCTGTTGCAAACGCACTGGAATCGTCTTTGCGAAATGCGACAGTTTTCACCGATCTTGAGTGGCCGCAAAAGGTGCGAATGTGTCGAAAATCACCATCGGCCATATCGTAGAGCATGGAAGAGCGGTCTCCGGAGGCAGTCACTAATTGCATCTGGTCGAACTTCCAGGCCAGGTCAAAAATGGCGTTGCTGTGTGCGTCTGTGCAGTTTCTACAGAATAAAAAGGGGGCGTTTTGTTATTAGGACTACTTATGGAAATGAGGCAGGTTCTCACGTGGCTTCAGATTCGGTGTCCATCACCACTAGATGCCCGTTCTCATTGGCCATCCCAACAATGTGCTCGCTCCCTGGTTTTGGGGCATTTTTGCACGTGAAAATTGCCGATTCACACAGTGTAGAGAGATGTGGTCGATCGGCCTCGCAACGGAGCCTGCAGAAGACTGAATCGTATTGCCTCCAAATAGCTGCAAAAAATGTTCCATTTAGACTTAGTTAGGGTTGTTTAGCAAGGTCAGGAGTACGGCGCTTACAGACAAAACAAAATAAATCTTGGGTTACAAAAAACACGTTTCTTTTGTTACAGAACAACAGTAGAGTTCTGCATGTAAGGCCGTATAGTAGCCGATAACTACAAAAAAAGTGTTTTGCAGAATCAGATTTCTAATCTAGAGATGTTTATGAGGATTTCAAAGCTTCATCGCTTGGGAAGAACTTGAAGGGTAAGTTTGCCTGATGAATACTAGCAGACATACTAAAAATTGCATTCTCAAGCTTGTTGACCATTGAAGGGGGTTTTCATAGACATTAGTAGCAGTTTTGTGGATATTCGAATGAATTGCGGCATTTTTGATAACTCACCCCGTCCGTACTGCTGGTTAATTAAGTCGTGCACAGTATTTGTCGACATTTTTCATAGTCCAGTTGCGATTTACGGTATTGTACACATAGCTTTTTCGGTAAAGTGCGGGAAACGCAATAAACTGACCATTTTCGTTTTCTGTGTGTTAGGTTAGGTCTTGAGTGGGTCGGCTTTCGGCTCTGGAAAAATCATTGACACTTTGCGAAAATGGTTTTTTGTGACGTTGTCAAGTGTTGCATCAAAAGATGGATGTTATATACATTTTTCTGTATTTGCGTTAACGGCAAAAAAAAGTTTTATTTAAATTGAGTACTTTCTGACGTTCCTTTGTCAATCGGTTGCCGCTCTCCAATCTTCAATTGAGTTGTTTTTGGTGTTAATTATGCAGGTTTGAGGACTAGTAGGATGTTTTTCAGAATTTTGAGGCAATAGCAATGAGCAACTCAATGGTAATTGAGATTTTTCTACATTTTAAAAACGAACAAGAAAACTCGTAGAACGCGGTTTTCCTAAAGGCAAAACATATTTTAGTTCTCAATAATGAAAGGAGTTTAATATTGTATCTGAAACTGTTTCCGTCGAACAAGCTTCTAAACTTTCCCACTAGAAAAGCTTTTCCTGAAAAGTTTATAAGAGTTCATTCAATTGCCCAGAAAATTTAATTAGGGAAACCAAGTTCTCCAGACTCTCAACCGAAAATATCTTTCCAAATAATCATTAATTTTATCAAAGCTTCTAAACTTCGGCAGGCCGTTAAATTTTTATAATTTTTCCGTCTAACTGCGGAAAATCAGTTTAGGGAACGTTCTGGCGAAAATAACAAAATGCTTAGTTAGATATTTTACAGTGTGCGATTTAGAAGCGTCTAAAGATTATATGTTGACATTTTCCTTGAAACTTTTTAAAGAGGTTTCGAGTTTCAGATCAAACTTAACTAAGAAAAGGCGCGCCTTCGGAAAGTTGCTAAGTTGAGGTGTTCATGAAAATGTTCACGACTTGTATTGACACGACTAATCTTTGCTTTTAAGTTACTAAACCAAATTAGTAAATGACCATTCTCGGTGCGAAGTATCAAAAAGTTAGTGTGTTGTATTACTTGCCGCCTTTTTAGTAAAAGTGCTGCAGGATAAAATCAAATCAGACCATACAAAAAAATATTTATTGTTAAAACTAATAACTAATCACGAAAAGACTAGTTGCTCGATATAATCGACTCGTTCTTTAGCGTACAGCAGATTTTCCCATTCACTCCATCTGATTATCTTCACCTTGTAGCCGAGCATTTCGAGGTGCCGGTTTTGCAAGGCATGCTCGCCCTTCAGACGCACATACAGCCTGGTAAAAGCATTCATTGGCTTAATCAGAATGGCGTACTTGCTGAAACAAAACATCCGGATAGTGTGCAGAAGCAAATCAGGCCGCACTCAGTTACGTTGTGTTGAACCCGTTAAGGTCCATTGTGGGCTTTTTCTGCCGGTCCAGATGATAAACAAAGTTCACCTCGTATCCATAGGGCAGGGTGACGTTTTCCCGAATATTCTCCTCACCCAAAACTCCCTGCAAGTAGCTCTTAACACTAAGGTGGATGGGCTTAACCACATCATCAATCGCATCTAAAAATGTAACTTTTTGTTCGAATTCCTCTGGCCTTTAACTACTCACTGGTTTTCTGATATTCCTCGATGTACTTCTGATGGAACCACGGCACGTTGTACTCGGGATACTCTAGACAAACAGCCCGGTTTAGTTGCATCAGCACGCGCCGCACCCGGTTTGGGTACTTATCCTAAAACGATCGTTTTTACTTGGTTAATAGAAAAAATGATGTTTGTATATGATTTATCGACTATCAAAAAGCAGGGCAAAACGTCGAGGCAAGAAACTGATAAGGTGGTATAATGATGTGCAACGTTAGATACAACTTTCTGAACATAATACTAATGGGCAAAATAGAAGGAAACTGGTGTAACATCTCAGAAGCCGCAATTATATTTAGAAGAGCCGAAACAGGTGTTTTTTAGCCTCTGAAGAAGAATGGCAAACTCCAAATTACGATATTTACCCGAAAGTAGCAGTTGGCCAGCTCCACGTCCAGTTTATCCAGAAACTCCACGTTGAATATCTGCTTGACGAAGCTTTTCGGCATTTGCTGGAAGAAACACAGCGAGAGGGCGCCCTGCAGAAAACTGAGCCCACTCATCCGATCCTGATCCCTACGGAAAGCTACTGAAATTACTGGCTTGCAGCGGAAGTGAGTCAGTCGTACCTAATAAAGATATTTATGACAGTTTCGAAGAACTCCTTCTCGTAGACGGGCTCGTAGTTCAACTGGTAGAGCATGTGCAGGATTTTCTCCACGTTGAAGCCCACAATGTTCTCCTTGTACTCGATGATGTAGTTTGTGCAAAGATTCAGCACTTCGGGAATGAGCGACTTAGTGCAGAACAGGATAAAGCAGATGTGCTCCATTACTTTCGAGGACATATGCTTGGTCCGTGCCAAGGTGGACATCATGTCGTCGAAAAGCTGGTTTTCGGTTTCTTTCCTCAGGATGGCGCCCTTTATCAGCAAAGCGGATGCGACGATGTCCTCTTGCAGCCTACTGTGCAGTTGAACGGTTTGTTGATGCAACTTCTGATGAATGGTGTCAATAGATACACTAGACACAGTAGATTTTCTCTGAAACGGAAATAACTATGTAAAAATGCTTTTACAAGTCGCAGGACGATTTTACCAGAGACCCCATTAGAAGACCGTTGGAGAGCTTGAAAACGTGCATGGGCGCCATTTGGGTGTGCATCTCGTTGAAGGCCAGCAGTAAGCTGTTGAAGAGCTTCTCATTGTAGCTGGACAGCAAAATGAACGCAAAAGCGGAAAAAAAATTGTTCGGGAACAGAGTGAGCGTGCCTGCTTTGAAAGCTTTCTCTATCACAGTCGATACGTGATGCTCAAACGCATAGTGCCGAAAGCCTGGAATATCCCCACAAAAATACACATAATTGTTCACGATCTCCATGATCTTGGCAAAGTCTTTCTCTTTCTTCATCACCTGGCACGCCTTGTTCCAGTAAAGGTCGCACAGCTTCGGATCGGACACTTTCAAGAAGGAAAAAATCTTCCGCAGCGTGATCAGGTTGTTGAAGTCCTCTGTTTCATTCATGTACTTTGCAATGTCGCGACGAAACTGCGCCTTGTTCATTGGAGAGGAAAAATAGATTACCGAAGAGAACAGCTTCAGCTTGTTGCTGTGGTCCTCTTCGGCTTCGTCTATTTCTTGAAGCAATCGCGCTGCTGCTCGTTGGATCGTGTTGAGCACATCACCGGGTTCTTGGTTTTTGAAAAATACCTATCAAAGAAAGTAGCAATGGGAATTCGAAAACTTTAATCTCAATGTATTCTTTGTACTGCGACATTCTTTCGACCAAACGAAGACGATCTGACCTAACTTTTACTAAGAAAAAGAGACCGCAGGGTGGGGACGGCCAGACAACGTTTTTATATTTCCCGTTAAAAATACTCACATCGTACAAGTGGTACATTTCGTGCAGGTTTAGTTTGTCAATGGAGCCCTTCATCAGTAGAATACATTTGGATATGATTGAAGAGTGTTTGTTTCTCCACATGGCAAGATTGAATACAGACAACATCTTGAGAATTAGTCTGTAATCGTCGCCTGTGAGAACGCGAGCTTCGATTAATTCCCTCACTTTGGCCTCGTATCGTTGCAAAACATCGGTAGTGAGAATAGCATTGAGCTTTAAAAGACACATATTGAGGTCCTCCAAGTCTTTTGTGCTGTTGACTAGCTCTGAAATAATAAGCTGTAGTGATAATCACAGACTTAAGGGAAACAGTGGCGTTTACCAATGTGCCTGAGAACGTGGGGAATCAGGTCTTGGGCAATATAAAAAGGTCTAATGCTGTTTTCCAAAAAAATTACTCTAAACAAGCGGGAAGCGATGCTCAAGGAAAAGTCGCGCAAAAGATGGTCCTTGAGTTGTAAGGCGATGGCTTGGATTAGACCGTTTTCCACAGATAGCCCCAGCTTGTTCAAATGCATTACAGTGTAACTTAAAAACTGCGGTTCGAAGGAGGCTAAGTTGTTTTTGATCGCGTCAAAAACCATGTATAACTCTTTGTGTTCTAGTAGTTTCTTAAAAAAGATTTCTCTGCTAGCATCCTCATCTTTCTCGTATTGATAGATGAATATAGTCTGCAAATCGTACAGAGCCAAAACTATTTGAGACAGATACTTGTAGTCCAACGCGCCATTATTAGTCCTCACAAATTTGAACACATCCTCTACAGAGGCACATTTGGAGATTTCCAAAGACTTGCCGTCAGGATTGTCCTGGAAGAGAATCTTCCTGGTCAAATCTGACTGGTTCAGGCCTTTATCGTCTGTGTAAGGGTAAATGCCGGTTATTTCATCTACTTCCGGTATACTAGTGGAATCAAAGGCGCGTTTCTCGTTGAGGAACAGTCCTCGTTTAGTCAGTCGCACCACTGATCTGCACCTGCAACCACCACTGGGAACTACGGTGTTTAAATGCCTTTTTCCCAATACAGTCCGGTTGAAGTAGTTGTACACCTGATATTTTCTACAGACATTTTTCAAAAAGCTCATGTTTTGCGGTTTATTTACATTTTTGCTAGGTTAGTTCACCTATGACCTCACCTTCAACCTTCAAAGTAGTGCCAAAGTCTTAATGAGCTGTAAGTATGGTTGCCTGATATTCTTCATTTACTTCTATTGGCTACCCTCGGGCTAACTATGTGAAGCTAGCTAGAGATATGAAGAAGGGGCGCCAACCGCTAGTTGATTTTTCTGATGCAATTTAAGTAATTACTTTGGAATGCTGAAAAATATATCGTAAATTTTATGCTGATGGTGATGATTTTAATTAAATTAATTTTTCTTTAATAGAATCTTCAATATTTTCGGATGTATAGGCAACTTAATACGCACGTTTTAGCATATGGCGACATCTGTGTTGTAAACTAACCATACTTCTATGAGAGTATTCCATAGACTTTTAATTTCTAGACCTGTAAATGTTGACCCTTATCAATTCAATTAAATTTACAGTAAAACAAATTCATGTTGTAGAGAAACCTTATTACTTGCATTTAAAAAATCTGTTGCAGCTAGTAAATACTGGATACGCTAAGTTTCCGATAATTTTATCGTCCTTTCAAATTGAGTTGGAAATCCGGTCAAATTTATTACAATCTGATCTAATTTCATGCGAAAGATCTTATCTTTTAGATAGAGATCTATTGCGTCCAATTAACATTTGCTACGGTAAGTTTCCGGTAACTTAAACATTATTTGGTTTGAAACGAGTTGGAAAATATCGTCACACTTATCGGAGGATTTACCGTGATCGTATCCATCCTTGTGCGGGAGATGCTGCTTAAGCAGGTAATCTCAACGATTAATTACGGATTTTACCGTTGATATGTATTTTACCAAAAGAAGAATCGTTAACTAACCCGACCCTTTGTCGGCCCATTAATCGGCCAGAAAGAACACAGAAACCGTAACTCTATTTCAGTTGCAGAGGGTAAATAATTATTTTCATTGCTTGTAATTATGTGTATAGGTTATATGTTTACCTGTAGAATATGAATAATTTATTTTATACAAATTTTAAAGTCGTAAAAGATCTCACTCTCAGGGTTAAGGTGTAATTGGGAAATATCACCCAAAAGTAGCTTGGCGACTCAAAATGTTCGTCGCAAAAATCTCCGAAAAGGAACTCAATTTGGATAAATGGTCAAAATCCGGTAAAAATTTAACAATTTATCGAACAAATTTTTTTTAAATTAGTTAAACGGCCTTAAACCGAAGTTAAAGGCCTTCAAAAAATTCCTCAAGACCCATTTATATTGACCCTCTCCACGGAAATCTTTAGTAAAAGGCGAAAGATTTATTCGCTTTGAAGAGAGTCCAGGGTAAAGATTTCATGCAAAATTTGCTCAGTTATACCCTCGACGAAGATTGCCCATGATAGTTTCACCCGTTGGCGCCATCTCGGCGGGAGACGGAAACTACAATGTTCGGAATGTCGAATCAAGCTATTTCCAATAATGGTGAGTTTTAGCATTGAGTTTCTAAACGCCCTTTAGATAGAGATCTATTGCGTCCAATAAATATTTGGCCATATAACAACGGCTGGGGAGGTTCAAACGCCAGCCGTGTATATGCAGATCAAAAAAGTATCGCTCAAGTTTAAATTGGCCTGGCTGAATACCCAAGGGGTGGTAGCCATTAAAAAAATAAACATTTGCTACGGTAAGTTTGCAGTAAAACTAACGTTATTTTCGTTGAAACTCCAGTTGGAAAACATCGTCACAATTATCGGAGGATTTACGGTGATCCTACTTAGCCTTGTGTGCGAGAGATCCCTATTATCTGTTTTGCATAGAGATCTATTGCGTCGAATATCCATTTGCTACGGTAAGTTCCCGGTACCTTTAACGTTATTTTTCTTGGAACGGGTTGGAAAATATTGTCACACTTATCGGAGGATTTACCGAAATCCTGCTTACCCTTGTGTGCAAGAGATCACTATTGTCTGCTTTAGAAAGAGGTCAATTACGTCCAATAAACATTTGCTACGGTAAGTTTCCGGTACCTTTAACGTTATTTTCGTAGAAACTTGAGTTGGAAAATATCGTCAACACTTATCGGATGATTTACCGCAATCCTACCTCTCCTTGTGTGCGAGAGATCCCTATTATCTGCATTGGATAGAGATCTATCGAGACGAACAACCATTGTAAGTTTCCGGTAAAATTAAGGTCCGTTTCTTGAAAGTTGATTTGAAAATATAAGTTTTATTGATTTTTATCATAAGAGTTGTGTGTGACGAATCTCTAATACCTGTTTGAAACTGAGAATTATTGTATCCAATAAACACTTGCTACGATTACTTGGCGACAAAAGTTTACGTTATTTTGTTTGAAAATGGCGAAAAAAATATCTATTATCTGTTTTAAATAGAGATCTATTGCAACCAATAAACTACGGTAAGTTTTCTATAAAATTTACCTGTTTTTTTCTTAGAAGTTTAGTTGAAAAATTGTAAAATTTATCGTAAATCGACTCTTCCTTGTGTGTGTGCGATTTCTAAAACCTGCTTTAGGTAGAGATCTATGATGACCAATGAACACTGGCTACGGTAAGTTTTCGGTAACATTAACGTAATTGTTGATCAGTCAGTGCGATAGTACTGAATACTTGATGGGAGGATTAATTATAATATTCCTATTCTGTGCAAGAGATCCCTAATACCTGCTTTGGATAGAGGTCAATAAAAAACCTATACATACCTGAAATTTTCTGCTCACAAAATCAAATACCATCAGTTGGTGAAAATAAACTAGACCCATTTTTTCAGTTTTCTTCTCATCTCGCACATTTCCAGCAGCAAACCATAGAAACCAACGAAAGAAAATTGTTTATTCTTCTAAGAATGCAGGACGGATTTCTAGTGGGCCACAAATGCATTATTTATAAAATCTGCCGTTTGTCGCCCATCCCAGCTACAATAATACGACTTTATTAGCCGGCATTTAATTAATCAACATTAAGAGGCTATACCAAAGCGCACTTTCCCGCTACTGGCATCAGGCCCAACTCCTGCCACTGCATCCAACTGGCTTATCCTGACAAGGCTCGAAGTTATGTCATCAAAATTATTTATTTCAATGCTTTTCAATCATCATCATCGTTTATAAAATTGTTTATCAAGAAAACCGCCCATTTGGTAATTATCATACACCCATGTTGGTAACGAAAATGATCAGAATGGAAAGTGATGATATTGCTTTAGGGATTAGTACCTAACTTACACGCTAAAATAGAACAAATTTTGAGGATTTTTCTGTATTTAGTCTGAACAAGATATTTGAAATTGAAATTTACCTTGTCCGAGATTGGTTCGAAAGATTTTCTGTCATTTTCGGTGGTTGCCAGCTTCAGCGTTTCTTCCCGGTAATTTAAAAATATTTATCTTTGTTGAATCAGATATTATTGTAACAGCACGATTTTATAGACGTTTTTAAAACTTTTTTATTTTTCATTGTTGATAAAATAAACACTCTTGATTAGGATTGCTTGATGTAAGTTTAGTTTTTCTGTATAAAACGCCATCCAGTACATGGGCACGTAAATAATTTCTGTGAAGTTTTTGGCTAAAAAGTGTATTCGCGATCGAATCGGTAGTTGAACAACTACGGATGGTGGCGCTGCAAAACGTCAAATTACTCGTTGTCGAGTGACAGTTGAAACTTGTCATACTGGTTTATCTATTGGACATCATGACATTTATAACATAAAACAATACTTACACACTTTTGGATCTGTTTCTATTTCTTTAAAAGCCTGCAAAAGTTGATTAGAACAAAACAAATCACAATCAGATGTAAACACCAATGCCAACAAAACAAGTGTCAAGTTACTACCTAACTTGTAGTTATCATTTTAGCCACCAGGGGGCGTCTGGACTTTTAAACTCGCGAATAGTTTTGACCGTCTAAACTCCAAAACTGTCACATGAACAGCAAACTGTCAATGACTGCTACTGACAGGTGAAATCCCGAAACCAGCCGACCCAGATAGGCAAACCCTCGCATGTTTCCGATGTTCAAATTTCGGTTAAAAATCGAAACTGTCCCCGATCATTTTAATCCAGAGCCAATAAAACCCGACTCTGGATAAGCAAACGAGCTTGAAAAATCAATACCTCGAGCCGCAGCCTCCAGACACGATCCCTCTACTTAAAAAGCGCAGACCCATAATTCATTCAACAGGAATCCGCCCTTATCAAGCATCCCTTTTCCCTGCGCTCCGCACGCTCGATTGTCCTCACAGTTTCCCTCTCTGTTCTGGGGCCGCATTCCCATGGCACTTTCCTGCCACCCCCATCGGCTGTCTCGCTTTAGCCCATCAAAGTGATAGCGAAAGCGCACAGCAGCTGAAGGCACAGCCTGCTTGATGCACAAACATCGCAGGAAACTGTCTGCATGTCGTTCATTGCCAGCCTGCTCGGCGCTTATCTAGCAGGCGATAGTTTGTGGATTTTGTCGTATTTCGTTGTTTGAATTTTTTTCCTCGTTTCAATCGCGAATGAAAAACTGATGGTGCGGATGATTTTTGTCCGAAATTTATTCACTTGATAATGACACTTTTAAACGCGGGCTTCAAGTGATTGAGTGCAGGAGTGTTGATTTGCGGGCGAAATTAAAAAAAAAAGGTAAGCAGGAATTATTTGATAAAATGCAGTCAGGAATTTATATTGATTTTTTTGTCATTTGATGGCAATTTTCTATATTTTAAGTAAAATAAGCCAAAATGCATTTTAACGCGCTTTAAAAGAGTTAATCAGAACCAGCTCAGGTGTACGTTAAACACCTAAATATCACGCTCTGAATGGCTTGTAGAATAATCCACACCACTAGCGCCACCATATCAATTTCAATACATTCACGAAATTAATTAGTTAATTAGTTTCACTGCGTCTATTGGCCGGAGGGATGGTGTTTCAGAACCTCCGGCTTTTCGTTACAAAACCCTCAAAAGTGCGGTTTTACTTCTGCAAAATTTGACGCTTTAAAACGCACGTAAATGATTTAGATAAGAAGTTACAAACTTTTAAAGAACATGTATTTGTGGTAAAAAACCCAAATTTCATGCGACAGAATTAGATCTTTTTTATAATTTTCAACATTTTCAGAGCCTAGCGTCTTCAATAGATGCTCATAGCGTCCAGCTTTTACTTGCTTTCAATTTAAGGCGCGAATTTTTCAGGGAAATCAAGAAATTGTGCAAAACCAATTTGCGATTTTTGCTCACCCTTGCCATTCTTTCCACTAATACAGTGCACCGCAACATTCCTGAACTTTAGCCGGTGAACATTTTCTGTTAGTGATCCGATTTAAATAATTTTCTCATCGAATCATAGCTCTAGTCTTGGACAAAATTGATGCTCCAAGATAAGCAAAAAAAGCCATAACATATTGTACAGGGTGTTTAAATACTGTAATTTCTTGGTCAGAGATTAAATATTCCTGCGGGCAATATGTGGTAGACCAGAGAGAAAAAGCATCCCATGTATGAATACATAATATATAATCATACAACTACAACCTGATGTCTTCTGAATAATTTGGATGTTTAATCGTCTGTTGATCTGGAGCCATTCGCGATATACAGGGTGATTCAAAATTGGCGTCATTCCTCTGGAGGTGTTGTCTGGCGGTATTTTACGAGTACAGAAAAAATAGTGACCAAAATTATTGTTATTAAAAACTGAGAAATTTGCAAAAAACTCTATTAGAAAAACGGCAACAATGTTTTTCAAGGTAATCTGCCTAATTAACATTACGTAAATACCTGTTGCTTCGTAATTATTTAAAACTCCGGTAACCATGGAATTATACAGAAAGTGACAATAAGATAGACCAGCATAAACGGTAAATTCAACAGGAATCGTTGAATGACGGAACCTATTTCGAAACTCATAACTTCGAATTATTAATTTGTTTACAAATTACATAAACGTACATTTGAGTCTGTAGCTCCAAACAATTGCCTGTGTAATTCTTTCTCGTATTCGGTTAAATAACTCCTGCTCAATTTATACCGGTGTTCAGTAATCCATTGGTTTAATGTGATCTTAGTTACGTGGTAGGAATGTAGCCGGTATTTATTTGGTGCCTGGGAAAGTGTCAGTTGTGCAATGTTCTAAGTGCCCCTGAAAGGCTCTTCTGCAATTATGTCCAATACTTGTTCCTCTGTCTCTGGAACCCGAACATCTATTGTCGTCCACGATCTTCATGGAACCACTCTCCTCACCCTTTGTTGGCGTGAGTTCTTCCAGCTTCTGCTGTGTTACTGTAGCATTTCCCCTGAACTAATTGCATACCCGCAAATTCGTTAAAGAAAATTCAAAGTAAGTCACAGTTTGACAAATTATTGACAAGGGCTATCCACCTGTAACAATCTGTTAATGACAAAAAACATCATTGCCGCTTTGACTTTTCATCAAAAAATTGTAGAAGAGAACTTTTTTAATATAAAAAAATTTCGTAATTTGAAGCAAAGATCGTAATTTTTCTTTTTGAATGCTTAAGTATTCCAATATGCTACCAATTAAACATGGAACAATTTCAAAATAAT